GTCAAATTTTTTTGCATTGAAAACGGAAAAAATATATATTTGATATTTTTTATAAATAGGTTCAACATATACAACACATATGAAGTTAAACGAATTGGATGTCAATTACTGGATTGTCTGGTCCAGACTCGATTATTTACAGACCGTCGTGATATAGCTGGAATATTGCTGAGTGCGGCAACAAACAAACACATCAGCAAATTCTCTGGTTCATCATTTGCATTTTTTCATTTGTATCCACTTTCGCACAAAAATAGGTATGCAACTTTCCAATGCATTCTGTTTTTAGGAAAACGCACTTTCTAATTGCTACACCTACAGCGTCAGCTGGCTGAGAAGGGAATAAATAATCAACAAACTCGCTTAATTATCTCTTTCATGTGGATTGCGCGTAAAGCTGACGTTTACCATTTTGAACTGTTGCAAGAGAAATTACAATTATACTTTCATTTTTCCATTACTTCACTGTTGCAAAGCACAATGTTTTTTTAATGGTTTGGGTCCAAGTGACCGCATCAATCATTCCACGTGCACCAGAGGAGCTGGCCATTTTCAATGTCTTTCCTTTCATCAACCTCAAATCATCGCAGTGAAAAACAACATGGATTATATTGCAGTAGTTCTCCATCAATCAGAACCAAAAATCCCATTACAAAACACTCGGATACTGTAATTCTGCCTTAATCGGGAGACTTCGGCGCCAATTCGTCAAACTCGGGATCTCTTGCATGATAATCAACCACATGTGAGGATAACTAGAAATGTGCGTGCCGATTATCAAAGAGGTTCTTAAAAAATATACTGAACGACAAAAGAAACGCAAGTCTCAAAATTATTGACATTTTATAAGTGCAACCATTCTATTCTGAATTAATTGGAAAATGCTGACTTGGTAAAAGATGATCTGATATCAGGGAATATAGCGTCCGTTACACAGGGCACTCAAACACAACCACGGGCATAATCCTGGGTAAAAACACGTGCATTTTCACTCTAAGTATCCCATACAAAGGTGGAAGTGAAACACCGCTGCGATATTAACACCAGAAGGTCAACAGATGAAGTCAACGTTGCTCAACGCCACTGTTCGCGTCCGTATGTGGGACCAATAATCACACGACACCGTCAGCAACGTTTACAGACGGCTCGGCAACATCAACGTTGGCGACGTGGCCAGTGGCGTTGAGTTATCTTTTTGGACGGGTCTCGCTGCCATCTTTCTCATGCTGACGGTCGTGTACATGTTTGGCGTCGCCGTAATTGTTATACGGCAGCGTATTTTATTGCCTGGCAATGATTGTAACTGTGTTACATTGTCTCTGTTTAATCGACGCGTAACATTATGAACGTTACGCTGATTGCTGCTTAGCAGATAGGGTGGTGGAGGTGTGATGGTTTGGGGAGCTTTACGCTATAGCCACAGGTCCCAGCTTCATGTCTTCCGACATCGTGTAACTGCTGTACACAGGGATCAACATCTTCATCTTTATGTTGTTCCCATGTGTGTTGCACATCCTCAACTGCAGCTGGTCCAACATGACAATGCACGTCCTCATACAGCAACGGTGCACTCACTCACTCGTTGCATACAAAGAGATTAGTTGATATCCATGTTATCCTTAAATACGACGGCTTCCTAAACCCCATTTATGCATATCCTTTTTGATCGTCTCAGCAAAACTTCTGTACTTGTCACAAGTTCCAATTATGCTTGTGACAAGGACTTCAAATATACTTAATAGGCTAGCTGTCTGTCACAAAGACTGATTGGATTTTTAATAGATTTTCAAGTTTTCCGCAACCATACATTTTGACATTTTCAGAAGGGGTTAACACACCTGGTGGTGTGAAGTGTGAGACTCATTGCTGGTGGTGGTCTGCTTGCCATGAATCAAACTTGCTGGATGTGACGATGTGCCCAAATGTATCACTTGATACATGATTTCAAGTCACTGAATTTGTATAAAAATGAATGCGACAAAACCCTTTCAATATTCACAAGAACTTTCTGCCAAATACAGAGTCGACTGTACAGTTCCAACCAACATAAAGAGACAGATGTCCAAACTTCTTTAAAACTCGGTTCACGAAACCGCCAAAACTCCAAAACTTTATAATGTGAAAAAAATGACAAGCAGTGTTGCTTTTATACAGTAAAGTATGTTTAACGTAAAAAAAAAAATTAAATAAAAACTCATTTACTGTCGCTATACAAATAAAAAAAATTAAAATACTATGATTAAAACCTGTTGAAAATGTATCGTGAAAACTTCACATCACAACGAATATTGACGAATCGCGAGAAAAAATCAAAAAGAATATTTGAAATTGGATTATTCTTTTTAATTTTACCTTTCTACCTCAATTCCTTGGGAACAAAAATCCGTAAACAAAACAAAAAAGTCCTGCCTGAAGAACCGAGATTCCCCGCCGCTTTCTACTCGTCATTTTTTTTTCATGGAAAACATGACACTGTGACGTTAATTCCTTGTGATGCTGATTCCGTGTGACGTTGATTCCGCGTGACGCTGATTCAGCCAAACATATTGTCCCTGGAAACAGTCTCGCACGCCGAGAAGAGTGATACCGGTGTCAGTCACAATGACAACATAACTTCATTGTCACACATATGTACCTGGTCATCGTCACTGTCACGTGCGCTGTTCTGTTTTATGGTCAGAAACTGGGGGGGAAGTAGTTGGTCCAACTTTTAATCTGTTTTCAATCGCCTAAAACGTCAGTCAAAGTTTTTTGCATTGAAAACGGAAAAAATATATATTTGATATTTTTTTATGAATAGGTTCAATATATACAACACATGTGAAGTTAAACGAAATTATAAAAACACAATTTGAAAAATATTGACAATCTGTATTACTTAGTCCATTACCCAAGAATCCCCTAGTCCAGAATTATCGCGAAAGACACAAGCCGCATTGTCAACTGCGCGCCATACACTTCCTCTTATTGTAAAAAACAACAACTCCGTGGTTTAGTGGGTAGAGCGTCTGCCCGTAGAGAGAACGTCGCTGGTTCGATCTCCGTTAATAGATGGTACTTGTTTTTACCCTGCCTGGCGCTCGGCATCATGACAAATTCATAACAAAATCCATACCAGGTAACAGGAGACACGCCTTAAAAGAGAGCGGTGTAAGAACTCAATTAACAATGTCAATATCGGGTGTGACCACTACTGTGTTGGTGCAGGCGAGGCTGCGGCAGCGCATAGAAGACATCAGAAGATTTGGAGATTTGCCAAATGGGTGAGTGAGTGAGTGAGTTGGGTTTAACGCCGCTTTTAACAGTATTCCAGTCATATCACGGCGTGTCAGCTTAATGTGGGAGGAAAGCCCGAAGTGATGCAGGTCTCAGACGTTTACCCCTTCGGTGAAACCCACGAGCACGGGTATGGTGCTGACAAACCTAGAAACATAATCGGGGCGAACCGGGATTCGAACCCACAATCATAGGTTTCTGGCGTGCCCAAGGGACGCAACTCTGCACAGCGAATCGCGGCGCCTTAGACGACTGGGCCACCCGTGCCCCCTTTGCCCAATGGAGCTACCGGCTGGTTCTGGTGCTGTCGTAGGCGTCCTTCTATCTCTTCCCAGACATGTTCTATTGGGGAGAGGTCTGGAGAAACAGCCAGCCATGACAGTACAGCAATTTTATCCTAGTGCAACGTGACGTTACGTCCCTGCATTTTCACAAAGGGTAGGGCATGATCTCGAACGATGTCGTTCCGGTAGCGTACGACATTCAAAAAACCATTACCAATGATGAGTTGTATTCTCCCATGAGTTGTGATGCCACCCCATATCATTACACTTCCACCTCCAAACTGACGACGTTGGGTAACGCAAGTGTCGCTAAAACGTTGTCCTGGACGCCTGCAGACCCTTGCACAACCATCAGAGCAATCCAGATGAAACATGGACTATCTCTGAACTGTCCCATTAACTGGCCTCTGAACCTCAGATGCTGTCTACTTTAAGCTAAGGATGCCTGTCGGAGACGTGGAAAAAATTGGCCGAATCGCTGAACGTAGGGGCCGGATGTTGTTCTCCATTAACCGGCTACGTACGGTTCTGCCACTAACTGGTATCAACTCAGGAATTGTCCGAGCTGTTAATTTGGCAGTTTGGTATCGAATATGGTTGTCTTGTTGACGTGACATCACAAATGGACGACCAGCCCGTGGCAAGTAATGAGTGCTGCCCTGTCGGAGATTAAGTATCGAAAAAGATGATATTGTGTTTGGATGAACATTACAATGTCTGGCAACCGCGCACATGCAGGGATGATGATTTTAATGAGAACCTTACAGCTGAAAAATCACATCTAAATGTGATCCTAAATGCGCTCTTCACATAAAAAAACATGCTCTCAACAAACACGAAAACATCCAAATTGTGTGCCCTGCATTAACATGCACTTGCACATTGTGAATCTTCATAAATATGTATTGGACGATGCATTACTTAATTTCAGAATAAATGCATATAATTGAACTTTATACGAAGTGCAGGTACACAGTTGGCAAAACTGACATGAAATCTGCCCTTTTGTAACTCATCAACAATCCTGACCACGATATTTTCCGGCAACAAACTAAGCACACACACGTGCACGTTCCCGGGTAGTAAATTTGGACTTGTCCCAGCCCATGTTACAATGCAAACGTGGTCAAAGGGAAGCAACTCTCTTTGTGATGTCTTATTCCATCCAATGACGTATATAGATCTAGGAACTTTTTTGTTCCATCATGGAGTATCTGTGGAACTGTTATCAAGTTCAAATCACAGATTACTTGGTAGAGTCATGTTACTAGTTGTCAAGCAGACATCTCCAGACAGTGCTTGTGGTTTTGCTGCCTGGCAAGCATTGCATAAAATTAATACTATTCTTAATGTCGTTCTTCAGGGTTTAAAAATGTAGTTTACAACTGTACTGTCCCTTCTCAATGTTGACCTTGATAACATGACAACAAGACTCAGACAAACATAGAACCAAATGTACTTTATTTACATTCTCCTAAAACAGAATATGAATACAACAAAATATGAAAATTGTGTTAATCATGCATTCAAAGCCAACCTCAACTCCAGATAACACAGGTTGGTTTATCAGTTGTAGCTGGATCACTCAGGGTACATGGGGTTTTATGCATCCCGTGCGTTTGAAACCACAAGTTGGAGGGATGCATAAAACCCCATGTACCCTGGGCAATCCTGCTTCAACAAATTTATCTTACCGACATGTTTTAATATTACATTTAAAATAATTCAAACAAATGTAAAATTGATAGAAAATTGTTCGATTGAGCTGAAATACGCTGGCACTTTGTCATGTGACTTCCATTGACTCGGAAAGAGCATGCGTCTTTTTACTTTGAAGCGGGGTATAAGGGATTTATTCTGCCTCGTAGAAATCCACATGCAGCCTGTATTGCTTATGGTGGGGTATAAGAGATTTATTTCCCTGTTGAGAAATTTATTCCCCTCCAAGGCGGGTAACCCAGTATTTTATCAAGATCACGTGGACCAATCAGATCTCATCATTCTGACATGGAGGTATGATCAAGGTGCTCATACCACCTCTGTGGGCAGACTGGCAAGTTGTTTGTCAGTGTTGTATAGTTCTCAGAACACCCAAAGTGTCCAGCATTTTACTTTCACGTGTGGAAATTAAATTACGAAAATATTTTATCCTATTCATATTTTTCATGACTGAACATTTGTGACAGCATCTTGGAGTATTCCAAAAGTAAGAGACTACAAGTACTTGGCAATACTTCAGTTTTGTCCAAGATGGTCATAAAAAATACAGTTGATACATCTTCTATTATTTGTTTGTTGTTTAAAGTCACATTCAGCAATATTCCAGCACCCTCTTATGAAACTGGAAATTACTCAATTCTGATTGGTCAGAGGTTGTCAAATCACAATAATCCCCCCTCTGACTGAAACAGACAATTTGACCTCTGCATCACCAGAGAAGCTAATATTCATAGATAGTACTTTCTTTTATATCAAATAATACTTAAACAATTAAAGGTTACAAAATGTTGCGGTCACTACAATATTCAAAGGATGTATGTCATTACATTTCATGCAGAAAATACATAGAAATATAAAAAGATATTAAGTTTTGTGAGAATAGAGAGCTTGGAATTTTGGCCCTTTTCTATATACGACTGTGTTGTCCAAAGTGATGCAGGTTTGGGATGTTTACTGCTCTGATGAAATAGACTAGCTTGGTACGGACAAACCAAGACTCACTCCATGGTGAACTGATGAAATACACTAGCATGGTATGGACAAACCAAGACTCCATGGTGAACTGATGACATACACTAGCATGGTATGGACAAACCAAGACTCCATGGTGAACTGATGAAATAGACTAGCATGGTATGGACAAACCAAGACTCCATGGTGAACTGATGAAATACACTGGCATGGTATGGACAAACCAAGACTCCATGGTGAACTGATGACATACACTGGCATGGTATGGACAAACCAAGAATCCATGGTGAACTGATGAAAAACACTAGCATGGTATGGACAAACCAAGAATCCATGGTGAACTGATGAAATACACTAGCATGGTATGGACATACCAAGAATCCATGGTGAACTGATGACATACTGGGGAAATAGGACAATTGTGTTCAGACAGACTTGTGTCCCTTGGTCCAGTCGCAGGATGTGGAGCAGTAACTGTAACCATTATGTCTCAGGAATATAATCTCATTACATGTACAAACAGTGGAGCTAACAAAGGAATCCATTCTTTAGATCCAATATCACATTGATTATAAAGAGGATGCATTGAGAGAAGTATACAGATTGTCCTTGATATCTTCATAGGCGCCAACTCTCACTCAGGTATTGAGAAAAAAGGAAGATGCGTTGATAGAAGTATACAGATTGTCCTTGATATCTTCATAGGTGCCAACTCTCACTCAGGTATTGAGAAAAAAGGAAGATGCGTTGATAGAAGTATACAGATTGTCCTTGATATCTTCATAGGCGCCAACTCTCACTCACGTATTGAGAAATAAGGAAGATGCGTTGATAGAAGTATACAGATTGTCCTTGATATCTTCATAGGCGCCAACTCTCACTCACGTATTGAGAAATAAGGAAGATGCGTTGATAGAAGTATACAGATTGTCCTTGATATCTTCATAGGCGCCAACTCTCACTCACGTATTGAGAAATAAGGAAGATGCGTTGATAGAAGTATACAGATTGTCCTTGATATCTTCATAGGCAAGCATCATCATGAGCAACAGCTTGTGGTCCTCCTGGACCACATTGAGTCTGCCGTACAGGCCCTTCAGCGCCTTGATGTACGAAGTCTGTATGACCTTCTCTTTATCCGACACAGCAATCAAGCCCAGCGTCTTCCCATATGCCGTCGCATTGGCTCGGGTCTCTGCCGCTGAAATCAAAACCAAGTTTCAAATTCTTTGCACCAAAGTACATTGATTACATTTTTTTCTATCTAAGTGGCTACACAATTTGTTAAGCATGATATTACTAAGATTACCAGATTACAACAGATTACAACAGACCCTGTGATACATGTTTCCCTGTGGAACACTTAGGATCACCTCTACATAAGGCTTAAAAAAAATATAAAAGAATTGGTTTTCAGGCAATGACTTATATAGAGTGGGCAGGCGGTGTGGTTTTTTTTCACTTGTTCAAACAAGTATGGAACCAAATATACAGTTGTGTACCATCAACCTGGGAAAGGGCCTCCCTTCATAAACAGGCAAACTCCTATTGCTGCCATGACCTTCACACGAGATGCACAGTAAAGCAGTGTGCATTTAAAGTAAGTAACTGCATGCTTTATTGGATAGCATTGTTTTAAAGTAGCAGAATTTTTAATCTTTTTTCGAAAATGGAAATAAAACCGAAACATGTGGCAGACTTGATGATGCTGGCTGTGCCTGAGAACCAAGACTATTATTTTTTTTAGCCTGACACTTGCTAGAAGTAGCCACAGTTTGTGGTCTGGTATGATATCTATCAGACACAGTGATATGTTTGTGATATATCTCTCTGACACAGCGAATGTTTACTGTACTGCACTGTACCTTGGTTGGAGATCTGCTCGGTGAGCCTCAAGGTCTCCTTCACCTCCAGTGAATGCTGCTGGTAGAACACCTCTCGCTCACTCTCAATCTGAACGACAATCACAGCATCAACATGACATACACGGACACGACAAAATGTCTCAATCTGAACGACAATCACAGCATCGACATGACATACACGGACACGACAAAATGTCTCAATCTGAACGACAATCACAGCATCAACATGACATACACGGACACGACAAAATGTCTCAATCTGGACGACAATCACAGCATCAACATGACATACACGGACACGACAAAATGTCTCAATCTGAACGACAATCACAGCATCGACATGACATACACGGACACGACAAAATGTCTCAATCTGAACGACAATCACAGCATCGACATGACATACACGGACACAACAAAATGTCTCAATCTGGACAACAATCACAGCATCGACATGACATACACGGACACGACAAAATGTCTCAATCTGGACAACAATCACAGCATCAACATGACATACACGGACACGACAAAATGTCTCAATCTGAACGACAATCACAGCAAAGACATGACATACACGGACACGACAAAATGTCTCAATCTGGACAACAATCACAGCATCAACATGACATACATGGACACGACAAAATGTCTCAATCTGAACGACAATCACAGCAAAGACATGACATACACGGACACGACAAAATGTCTCAATCTGAACGACAATCACAGCAAAGACATGACATACACGGACACGACAAAATGTCTCAATCTGAACGACAATCACAGCATCGACATGACATACACGGACACGACAAAATGTCTCAATCTGGACAACAATCACAGCAAAGACATGACATACACGGACACGACAAAATGTCTCAATCTGAACGACAATCACAGCAAAGACATGACATACACGGACACGACAAAATGTCTCAATCTGGACAACAATCACAGCATCAACATGACATACACGGACACGACAAAATGTCTCAATCTGAACGACAATCACAGCAAAGACATGACATACACGGACACGACAAAATGTCTCAATCTGGACAACAATCACAGCATCAACATGACATACACGGACACGACAAAATGTCTCAATCTGAACGACAATCACAGCAAAGACATGACATACACGGACACGACAAAATGTCTCAATCTGAACGACAATCACAGCAAAGACATGACATACACGGACACGACAAAATGTCTCAATCTGGACGACAATCACAGCATCAACATGACATACACGGACACGACAAAATGTCACATTAAAGCCAGCCAGGAAACTGACTGAGGAAACTGACATGGCCAACACACGCCTACAGCTGTTTACTTGGTGGCATTCAAGGAAGTGAGCACAGAAAGATCATATCTCCAGGACCCCAACCTCGTTATAAAAACTGTAAAATGTTTTATTGCTGCTTGCGGTCAAGAAATAGATCCTTAGGTTACACAAAAACAATTTTTTACCAAAATAAGTAATTGGTCAACTCTTGATAACATCACTCCCAATGCTGTACACAACCATTCAGCTGTAAAATCTTGTACCTCCCACAAGTGACACAGACAACTCACTAACCACTGACTTCTTCACAATAACATTATATATCATGAGGCTTGTAGTCAAAAGATGCTTAAAGTTCATGACATATTTCCAAATTTGCTACCTACACTAGATGCCCCACATTCCAGGCTGACCTCGTTTACAGTGTAACACCATCCCTGTCCCCATTTGTCCCTCCCTCCATCTGTCCCTCCCTCCCTCCCTCAATCAGTCCATCACTCCCTCCTTTCGTCCTCACTCCATCTGTCCCTCCCACCCTCCTACCTCAAACTGTCCCTGTCCCTCTCTTTAGGGGCGGTCGGGTAGCCCAGTGGTTAAAGCGTTCGCTCGTCACGCCGAAGACCCGGGTTCGATTCCCGACATGGGTACAATGTGTGAAGCCCATTTCTGGTGTCCCCCGCCGTGATATTGGTGGAATATTGCTAAAAGCGGCATAAAACCATACTCATTCACTCACTCACTCTCTCCATCTCTCCTTGCTCTCTCTATCTGTCCATCCCTCTCTCCATCCGTCCTACTCTCCAACTGTCCCTCCATCCTTCTATCAGCCCCTCCCCGTATCTGTCCCTCCCTCTCTGTCTCTGTCCCTCCCTCTCTCCTTCCTAGTCTGGTACGAACCTGAAGAATGGTCTGCCTCATCAACCGCTCGAAAACCTCATTGGGGATGCTGATCTTTCCCATCTGGAAGTATTCCACGTCCGCATGATACCCGGCATCGCACGTCCCCGCCGGCTCACACACCGCACACACTGTCTTGTTACTGCACTCGTTGGGACAACAACTGGGACAGCAGGTGCCTGCAGTGTTGCACATAGCCTGACATCAATAACCCGAAGGCAGCTCCCCTACACTGAGTCTCACCTTCAATGCACTGGTTAAAGAGTACATGCTGCAGGAGTCAAAATTCCTTGTTGAAATTGCTTTGTTAAAATAGTAATTGGATCTAAAATGCGATAAAACATTAATGCGACTTCCAAATGGTACCGCTGACCATCTTTATTATTGCTCTGTGGCACACTTGAAAGAAAATACAGATCTACCCCAGCACAGACAGGGGAGGGGAGGTTTGGGGAATAGCACGGGTGTGAGTTGGGTTTAACACCGCTTTAAACAGTATTCCAGTTATATCATGATGTGTCAGCTTAATGTTGGAGGAAAGCAGGTCTTAGACGCTTACCACTTTGGTGAAACCCACCAGCATGGGTAAGGTGCTGACAAACCTAGAACCATAATCGGTGCGAACCAGAATTAGAACCCACAATCATAGGTTTCTGGCGTGCCCAAGAGACACAAATCTGCACAGCGAATTGCGGCGCCTTAGACGACTGGGCCACCCGTGCCCTCCAGCATGGTACAGAATAGAAAGGTGTGCCCCTTACCGCCGAGTCTCTCTCGAACCTTGTGGTGGAAGTCCCTCTCCATCTCGGGCCTGCTCTTGCGGTACATGGCCAAGGGGTGTTTCGTGCCCTCATTCTTGATAGTGTTGAACACTAGGCTCTCGAACACCGAGTGGTAATCTTTGCCGAACATGGCATGGACCTTGCCCACTTCGTTGGGTCTGCAATCAGTTAAACATTCAGTTACCATTGTTACCATAATAATACAAAATTATGCATTCAACTCTAGAAAGGACTTTCAAAATGTGTTTGAAGTGTGGAAAAAGTGTACTAGAATATCAATTCAGATAATAATTACATTTAATAAACTTTTTTTAATAGGCCAAGGTCACACTCAATGTTCATTTCAGAATGCGGACATGGGGACTTTTACACACAAAATAAACATATGGAGCAAAAGATATATATCACCGCGCCTACATGTCCAAATACTATAATATGTTTAGATTGCACCTTTGACTAACACACTCAGCTTCATCAATCTTTGTCAAATTTGGAAGTAAACACATTTTAACATTTGGAATAAAACAATCATTTGTTGTAACCTCAAAATTCTTCAGTTAGCCTTAGTTACCATAGGTTTAGCATGTTTAGCGATAACTTCTGAATGAATTGACCGTTGCGGCGTAGCATGATTTGATTGGCTGGTATAATATATATATAGTGCAACTGGTGTACTGACGTGAGCTTAAAATTGTTTTCCTGAACATGGCTGTTGAAAGAACTGAAGAAAGTGAACTTCTTTAACACAGACTGGAAGAATGAACTCTCTTTAAAAAGTGAATAAATAAAATGTGAAATGTTAAAAAAAAAATTAAATACATAAAGAGACACTGACAAGTTGAGTTCCTGATGGATAACAAAAAAAAGTAACATTCTCTAAGTGTTATGTCTGTATTTCAAAACATTTGTGGGTCCCCTGGTTTCAGCAAATTTCCCTAATTCTCAGAAAGGTAGGAGTCAGTGGGCCACACTTTTCCAGTTTCTGAAATGACCACTGCACACTTCACACTACATGGAAGATGTCATCAAGCTACAAGAAGGGGGAGTGGAGTGACACTGCCAGTACATGGAAGATGTCATCAAGCTACAAGAAGGGGGAGAGGAGTGACACTGCCAGTGCATGGAAGATGTCATCAAGCTACAAGGGGGGGTGGAGTGACACTGCCAGTGCATGGAAGATGTCATCAAGCTCCAAGAAGGGGGAGTGGAGTGACACTGCCAGTGCATGGAAGATGTCATCAAGCTCCAAGAAGGGGGAGTGGAGTGACACTGCCAGTGCATGGAAGATGTCATCAAGCTACAAGAAGGGGGAGTGGAGTGACACTGCCAGTGCATGGAAGATGTCATCAAGCTACAAGAAGGGGGAGTGGAGTGACACTGCCAGTGCATGGAAGATGTCATCAAGCTCCAAGAAGGGGGAGTGGAGTGACACTGCCAGTGCATGGAAGATGTCATCAAGCTACAAGAAGGGGGAGTGGAGTGACACTGCCAGTGCAGAAACCTCAACACTCCTGAAAGCCCAACCTCAGATGGACCAACAAACACTTGTTCAGTTTTCCTGATGAGGATTGCCTCATCAATTTGGAATAAACTATTTATATGCCTTCAATATATATATACCAGTCGCCAAAAACGAGCTTCTGTTATATTTGTGAGACGCTCCCCGTGACTGCCCGTTGTTCCCTCGTAAGAAAACCGGGCAAAATGAAATCTCAACAGAGCAACCTTTTTCCCAAAATGATTTTGGACTTAGCGAAGCAAAAGCCCTCCCCCTGTGGCACTGGATGAATGGGCTTCACACATTGTACCCATGCTGACACCAGCTTTAGGACACTTTTATCATTTTACTTTTCACAGATTTATTCCAGCTTTTCCACACAAGGAATATCATATGAATAAAAAAAACCAGCTATGTCAATCATTTATTTACTTATATGAAAGTTATTCTGACGTGGAGTTAAAACTGCAGCTGGCTTCTGGAATCACTGATAGTGATGTAGACATGGTATTCATTTTATATTGTCTATATTAGAGGGAGACATAATCAAAATAAATATTTTATGTTCAATTTAATTTTTTTCAGCTGCTTTTCAGTAGGGACAGCAGGCCCGTGAAACGAAATATAAAATGTGTGGGCTGAACCACTAGGCTGCTAGGCTGGGGCAAATCACAAAGTCAGGATACGATACAAAGGACATCCCAACTTGATTTCATTTCCCAAGCCAGTAGGCTCCACAACCCCACATATAATATAACAAGTGTAAAGAACCATGAGGTGAGGTAAATTGGGTTTAACATCGCGTCCAAGATTATCGCACTTATATAGCGATGTGCATGCACGTGTGTGTGTGTGTGTGTGGCTGCTTGTACGAGTCCGGACTGATGCCTATTTATAGTGCTAGCTCACTGAGATACCATGCCGCAGTTTAACACGAATACCCCACTCAGACACAGTATACTGACTCCGAGCTGACCAGTCCTTGTTTTAGCCCCTTAATGCCGAGCATCAGACAGGGTAACAACAAGTAGCATCTTTTAACGTCTTTTGGTATGACGCAGCCGGGGATCAAACCCCGGACCTTCCGCTCTCCGGGCGGATGCTCTACCACTAGACCACAGAGGCGGTCTTAAAGAACTATGAAACACAGCTGCCTACCTCAGGAAGTATTGAAGTGAGAGGTCCACATCGATGATCATCTTGTCCTTGGTGAACACCGACACTTTGGCGGAGATAGTGTGAGCTGTGCTGCTGAAGTAGATGAGATCAACGTCGGGGCCGAGGACATAGCAGCCTGGGTACAGCACCCTGTTCCGGTCAACAGACCCCGTCAAACGACTCTGGCGCAACGCGACCTGCATGGTCAATCATTAATGTTGCAGTCAAACGCTTCAATTACGATAAACAAGAAAGTGAGAGTTTATAGCCGCTCAGAGCAATATTCCAGTGACCAGATATGGGCCTAACACTTAGTACCCTCCTGGGGATGAAAACCTGGGTCTTGAGCTTACACCACCAATCGATGAAGAATTACACATATATTTTTGAAGAAATGTTTTTTTACTGAAAAGCAGTTATTGTGTGAAGCGGCTAAACTTCTGTAGTGTAATTAACACAAATGTAGCTAAAGAAACTCGGAGCCGTTACAGGCACAGGAGTAATGACAAAGATCCTAAGGTTTGGAAACCAAGTACATGAAGGTACACCAAAACTATAAAACAAAAACAATCCTTTCAAAATGAATTATTATGTTTAAGTTCAACTGAGAGTGAGTGATGTAATATTGAAGGTGAGGTGAAATGGGTTTAATTTCACCTCGAAGATTATAGCACCTATATAGTGTGTGTCTCTGTGTGCGTGTGTGTGTATGCATGTGCTTGCGCGTATGCGTGCGTGTGGGTGTGCATTCGTGTGTGCATGAGCATGCATGTGCATGTGTGCGTGCGTGCGTAGGTGTGTTTGTGCCTGTGCGTGTAGGTGTGCGTGTAGGTGTGCGTGTAGGTGTGCGTGCGTGCTGTGTGAAACAGTTATTCCAGACACAAACAGTCAGAACTTAAAACCTGTTTCAGTGAGGAGATACATACATCGGTACACTGCTACTTACGTGGTAATAATTAATGTATTCAAAGCTTGAGGAGAAAATGCCACAAAATACGACAAGACATGCAATGATGACAAGAGCAATAATTCCCAGAATCCTCTTGGTACGGGAGAAGGTGGAGTGGGCAGTGCACAGCTGTTGGTAGAAGCGGACGACCACTGTGCCCACACAGTTCAACCAGCAGAGTCTTGTACACTCATACGCCTCCCTAGAACACAGCAACATGGGGAATATATTGAACATATCAACCAGCAGTCTCATACACTAATACGCCTCCCTAGAACACAGCAACATGGAAACATATTGAATATATCAACCAGCAGTCTCATACACTCATACGCCTCCCTAGAACACAGCAGCATGGGGAATATATTGAACATATCAACCAGCAGTCTCATACACCTCCCTAGAACACAGCAACATGGGGGATATATTGATTATATCAACCAGCAGTCTCGTACACTCATACGCCTCCCTAGAACACAGCAACATGGGGGATATATTGAACATATCAACCAGCAGTCTCATACACTCATACGCCTCCCTAGAACACAGCAACATGGGAACATATTGAACATATCAACCAGCAGTCTCATACACCTCCCTAGAACACAGCAACATGGGGGATATATTGATTATATCAACCAGCAGTCTCGTACACTCATACGCCTCCCTAGAACACAGCAACATGGGGGATATATTGAACATATCAACCAGCAGTCTCATACACTCATACGCCTCCCTAGAACACAGCAACATGGGAACATATCAACCAGCAGTCTCATATGCCTCCCTAGAACACAGCAACATGGGAACATATTGAACATATCAACCAGCAGTCTCATACACTCATACGCCTCCCTAGAACACAGCAACATGGGAACATATTGAACATATCAACCAGCAGTCTCATACACTCATAAGCCTCCCTAGAACACAGCAGCATGGGGAATATATTGAACATATCAACCAGCAGTCTCATACACCTCCCTAGAACACAGCAACATGGGGGATATATTGATTATATCAACCAGCAGTCTCGTACACTCATACGCCTCCCTAGAACACAGCAACATGGGGGATATATTGAACATATCAACCAGCAGTCTCATACACTCATACGCCTCCCTAGAACACAGCAACATGGGAACATATCAACCAGCAGTCTCATATGCCTCCCTAGAACACAGCAACATGGGAACATATTGAACATATCAACCAGCAGTCTCATACACTCATACGCCTCCCTAGAACACAGCAACATGGGAACATATTGAACATATCAACCAGCAGTCTCATACACTCATACGCCTCCCTAGAACACAGCAACATGGGAACATATTGAACATATCAACCAGCAGTCTCATACACTCATACGCCTCCCTAGAGCACAGCAACATGGGAACATATTGAACATATCAACCAGCAGTCTCATACACTCATACGCCTCCCTAGAACACAGCAACATGGGAACATATTGAACATATCAACCAGCAGTCTCATACACTCATACGCCTCCCTAGAACACAGCAACATGGGAACATATTGAACATATCAACCAGCAGTCTCATACACTCATACGCCTCCCTAGAACACAGCAACATGGGGAATATATTGAATATATCAACCAGCAGTCTCATACACTCATACGCCTCCCTAGAACACAGCAACATGGGGGATATATTGAACAAATCAACCATACATTGAACATATCAACCAGCAGTCTCATACACTCATACGCGTCCCTAGAACACAGCAACATGGGGATATATTGAACAAATCAACCATACATTGAACACATCAACCAGCAGAGTCCAGTACATGTACAATTTTTATGCTTTCCGTAAAAGGCGACTGTGCTTGTCATAAGAAGCAACTAATGGGATTGGGTGGTCAGACTTGCTGGCCTGGTTGATGCATGTCATCAATCACAATTGCGTGGTTCAATGCTCATGACATCAATCACTGGATTCTCTTGTCCAGACTCAATTATTTACAGACCACCGTCATATAGCTGGAAAATTGCTGAGTGCGGCGTTAAACAACTAACAAACAAACAAACAAACAAAATCAGCAGTTCAACATGGACAACTTCAGTTTCTCATTCTAGAACTTACACTTCGTCCTCTGGTGGGGGCCCGGTCCGCTCCATGTCATGCAGCTCAATGTCACCCAGCTCAGCGGGTGCATGGTAGTTTGGATTATCTTCTGCAGAATAACAATATTGTCTAATTTATTCACGCCATCAGGCCATCACACCATCAGGCCATCACACCATCACGTAATCACTCATCACGCCATCACCCCATCACACCATCAGGCCACCACACCATCAGGCCATCACACCATCAGGCCATCACACCATCAGGTCATCACATCATCACGCCATCATGTAATCACAAGATCACTCATCATGCCATCACACCATCACACCATCACGCCATCACACCATCAGGCCATCACACCATCAGGCCATCACACCATCAGGCCATCACACTATCAGGCCATCAGGTAATCACAAGATCACTCATCATGCCATCACACCATCACACCATCAACCCCATCAGGCTATCACACCATTAGGCCATCACACCATCAGGCCATCACATCATCACGCCATCATGTCATCAGGCCATCAAGCCCATCACGCCATCAAGCCCATCACACCAAGAGGCCATCAACCCCATCAGGCCATCAGGCCCATCACACCATCAGGCCCATCAAACCATTACGCCATCACACCATCAGGCCATCACATCATCAGGCCATCACACCATCAACCCCATCACGCCATCACACCATCAGGCCATCACACAATCAGGCCATCACACCATCACACCATCACACCATCAGGCCATCACACCATCAGGCCATCACACCATCAGGCCATCACACCAGCCAGCAGAGTGACAGAGGTAGACCAACCAGGGATACAGCTCAATCTCTGCATGTGTGTGTGGGGGGTTTACAGGCTACACTAAGGATGCAACCCACCATATGCACACAACACATCACCTAAGCAGGGCAAATATTGGGTTTGTGACCACATCTTTATCCTGGTACCTAAGATCCCAAATTCTCACAGTATGGTGCATTGTATTAGAACACCTGGCAAACCGTGCTCCTAGATTAGTCTGAGTCAAACTAAAGTCTGGACCAGGAGCTGAAATCTTGGACAACTGGGCCACTCATGCACTTAGAGTTCTCTGAGTCAAACCATAGTCTGGACCAGAAGCTCGTCTCTAACCCATCGGAGTGGGAGAGTGCTGCTTAACAATTTTCAGCAATATTCCAGCAATATCATGTGAGGATTCCGCTTCAAACAGTTTGTGTGAGGAATCGAACCCTGGCCTTGGGTTGAAAAGCGAATACTTTTACCACTCGGCTTCCTCACCACCATCTTACCTATGGATGCATATGGAGGCGGCCTGGGTTTGGTGTCCAGTCGCGGTGGGTTCGGCTCGCTGAAGGAGATGGTGGTCCCCATGACCGGCCTGGGATTAGTGTCTAGTGGCTGTGGCTCCGGCCCATTGATGAAGGTGGTGGTCGCCATGCCGTCCATGTCGGGGTCTGAAGCATCCAGTGCCAGCTGCAACATAACAGCCATTCAAGCAAGTCAGAGCCATCTACTGGGAAGAATGTGCACCTCATTGTCCGGGGTGAGTGAGTAGGGGTTTATGCCACTCATAGCAACATCGTAGATAGGGCTTCACAGCTTCAAACCTGACACAACAGTCAATAGTGTGCCACGATATAACAGCAGAACCACTCAAGCTTCAGCAACACTTCAACATTTCCTGCGACACAGGTTACCATTTATACAAATGATCAGCAAAAAATAATAATTGCATAGATGTATCTATTCTATCATCTCTACTTTAGACACATGGAGATCAGCCTCTTAGGGCTGCATGTCATCCTCGTCTTCATTTGCATTGTTTCAAATGTATTGTTTAGAGATATCAAATCAACACACCTCAAAGTTCACATGCCATAAATGTAATTCATGCATAAATGTTCCACCACTCACCAGTGGAGTGAAACATGTTGTTTTCTTTCGGACTTTTTGTTGCAGATTTGTTCAAAGTTACTTCTCCAATATTTATTGATAATTGATCGATATTTATCTAACAATTATAGATCTCTATGATCTGTATCGATAGCCAGTCCTACATGCCAGTAGGCCCATGTCCATACAAGGACACAATACTACACTAAATTTCAACTACTCCTTGCTGACAGTAACACTGTGACATGTCCATACAAGGACACAATATTACACTGAATTACAACTACTCCTTGCTGACAGTAACACTGTGACATGTCCGTACAAGGACACAATACTACACTGAATTACAACTACTCCTTGCTGACAGTAACACTGTGACATGTCCATAGAAGGACACAATATTACACTGAATTTCAACTACTCCTTGCTGACAGTAACACTGTGACATGTCCATACAAGGACACAATATTACACTGAATTACAACTACTCCTTGCTTACAGTAACACTGTGACATGTCCGTACAAGGACACAATATTACACTGAATTACAACTACTCCTTGCTGACAGTAACACTGTGACATGTCCATACAAGGACACAATATTACACTGAATTACAACTACTCCTTGCTGACAGTAACACTGTGACATGTCCATACAAGGACACAATATACACTGAATTTCAACTACTCCTTGCTGACAGTAACACTGTGACATGTCCATACAAGGACACAATATACACTGAATTACAACTACTCCTTGCTGACAGTAACACTGTGACATGTCCATACAAGGACACAATATACACTGAATTTCAACTACTCCTTGCTGACAGTAACACTGTGACATGTCCATACAAAGACACAATACTACACTGAATTACAACTACTCCTTGCTGACAGTAAGACTGTGACATGTCCATACAAGGACACAATACTACACTGAATTTCAACTACTCCTTGCTGACAGTAACACTGTGACATGTCCGTACAAGGACGCAATATTACACTGAATTACAACTACTCCTTGCTGACAGTTACACTGTGACATGTCCGTACAAGGACACAATATACACTAAAATTACAACTACTCCTTGCTGACAGTAACACTGTGACATGTCCATACAAGGACACAATATTACACTGAATTACAACTACTCCTTGCTGACAGTAACACTGTGACATGTCCATACAAGGACACAATACTACACTGAATTTCAACTACTCCTTGCTGACAGTAACACTGTGACATGTCCATACAAGGACACAATATTACACTGAATTACAACTACTCCTTGCTGACAGTAACACTGTGACATGTCCGTACAAGGACACAATATACACTGAATTACAACTACTCCTTGCTGACAGTAAGACTGTGACATGTCCATACAAGGACACAATATTACACTGAATTACAACTACTCCTTGCTGACAGTAACACTGTGACATGTCCATACAAGGACACAATATACACTGAATTACAACTACTCCTTGCTGACAGTAACACTGTGACATGTCCATACAAGGACACAATACTACACTGAATTACAACTACTCCTTGCTGACAGTAACACTGTGACATGTCCATACAAGGACACAATATTACACTGAATTACAACTACTCCTTGCTGACAGTAACACTGTGACATGTCCATACAAGGACACAATATTACACTGAATTTCAACTACTCCTTGCTGACAGTAACACTGTGACATGTCCATACAAGGACACAATATACACTGAATTACAACTACTCCTTGCTGACAGTAACACTGTGACATGTCCATACAAGGACACAATACTACACTGAATTACAACTACTCCTTGCTGACAGTAACACTGTGACATGTCCATACAAGGACACAATATTACACTGAATTACAACTACTCCTTGCTGACAGTAACACTGTGACATGTCCATACAAGGACACAATATACACTGAATTTCAACTACTCCTTGCTGACAGTAACACTGTGACATGTCCATACAAGGACACAATATTACACTGAATTACAACTACTCCTTGCTGACAGTAACACTGTGACATGTCCATACAAGGACACAATACTACACTGAATTACAACTACTCCTTGCTGACAGTAACACTGTGACATGTCCATACAAGGACACAATATTACACTGAATTACAACTACTCCTTGCTGACAGTAACACTGTGACATGTCCATACAAGGACACAATATTACACTGAATTACAACTACTCCTTGCTGACAGTAACACTGTGACATGTCCATACAAGGACACAATATTACACTGAATTACAACTACTCCTTGCTGACAGTAACACTGTGACATGTCTGTACAAGGACACAATACTACACTGAATTACCACTACTCCTTGCTGACAGTAACACTGTGACATGTCCCTACTCCTTGCTGACAGTAACACTGTGACATCACGTGACCATCTCCTAGAGGTCTACTACATCACAACATCACAATGCAATGAAGAACTATTGGGTAACCTTTCATCTCTAGACTAATACATGATCCAAATCATCCACATTGGCAGGATTAAATGTTCAAGCTTGTCCTCTTTAGATTCGTCATGCTTCAGGAGAGTGGAGGTACCACATCATGCTTCAGTCAATACAGAGGCTTTGTCGTGTCATCGTACAAATGAGGACAAAGATAGAGTCCAATCAGTTCTATATGCAGTGTCAGAATCAGGAGGGTAAAAAGCGTGCATCTTAACAATCATTGATAAATTTGAGTGGTGTCACCTTATTATTCTTACGAGGCCATTTCGCAGAATAATCTCCGTCTCAGATATTCTATAGAAAGTCATTCACTAGAGATTTAATTTGAATTTGAACTTAATCTACATTATGAGTGAGTGAGTTTGATCTAACCCCGTTTGATTTAACAGTATTCCAGTCATATCATGGCGTGTCAGCTTAATTTAGGAGGAAAGCCCGAAGTGATGCAGGTCTCAGATGTTTACCACTTCGGTGAAACCCACGAGCAGGGGTATGGTGCTGACAAACCTAGAAACATAATCAGGGCAAACTGGGATTGGAACCCACAACCTTTGATGACATGGCCGCCCGTGCCCCCTTTACATTAGGAAATGTGACGAAGGATGTAAGAAACTAAGACCAGACAAATGTCTAAATACTTCAGTTGATCGAACTTGCAATCTTCATATCTATAGCCTAGTGAGTGAGTCTGAATGCAGGATTGACAACTTAGATGTAAAAATCAAATACTGTTGTGGTTTGATACCTCTGAATAACCAATCAGATTCAGTTCACAAGAGAACGGTCTCACAACACAAGTGTTGACATGCTTCGGCAGGTGCAGACAAGGGACCCAGGACAACTAACCAATAAACTACAGTGCTCCAGATAGATGCCGCATCAGCATATTATATGGATGAAAACTAGTCAAATACTGATGGATTACAATTATCATACCAGAATTCATCAATTCGACACACAAGCAGTAGTGTTCTAGTTTGTTTGAAATAATATGTCCAGTACTCATCAGCACATAACGACTCAGGTGATTTTAATACTCATTCCTGAACCTAAACTCACACCAGTTGTAGCGCTACAGTTGTTTTGAACAACGTCACCCAGTACTGTACTCAATTGGTTGAAAAATTATCTGGAGCACTGAACTAGTCACACTCATCTCAAAAGAAGCAGGGACGTCGCCGTACTAACTCCAATCTACAAGCACAGACACCTCTGTACAAGGGCTGCACTATGGAAGGATACCAACAAAGGGGAGTACTGTTCCTTTAACGGGCTGACAAATGTAAGTGAGTGAGTGAGTGAGGTTTTACGCCACTTTGAGCAATATTCCAGCAATATCACGGCGGGGGGACACCAGAAATGGGCTTCACATATTGTACCCATGTCGGGAATCGAACCCGCGTCTTCGGCGTGACGAATGAACGCTTTAACCACTAGGCTACCCAATCGCCCCTCTGACAAATGTAAAGCAAATCAGTTGATCGGAACCTTACGTATTAATTTGAAATTTTGATGATCATGATGAACTGCATCATTCTAAAAGAGATGCTAAACAGCCGCAATCAATTCTACAAGGATAACTTTGAATTTTACAATTTGACCAAATCTCAATTTACTGAAGACAATGTGATAATGAAAACCATTATGATCATCCATATAAACTAATACAATTCATCAAAGTTAATTGACAAGTACTTAAGTTCACTATTTCTTCCAAAAATGTGTAACAGTCTTGCTCAATCATTATTTATAGATGCATTGTAAACCTAATTCTAACCCCCTATTTCCTGTGTCACCAGCAGGAGTCTCATGGTGTTAATTAGTCAGTCATTACCAATCATCCAACCAAGTAAGTGAGTTAATGAAAAAAGAATACATAGAATATGTTACAGTCAATGTGTGAAATCAGTGAAATTTTCACTTAGGCAATATAAAAATTGATTGAAAAATATTTCCATTTATTTTATAATTCCAAACATTTTGATATTGAATATCATCATCCAGGGACTGAAAATGATGGAATTAAAAGAAAACAAAAGTCGACATATAACAGGGTTTTTTGTGCTTCTAATCCAAGCATAATTATGATATTGTGATGATTCAAGCCCATTTGAACTTTTAATAGGTTTCAGACAATATGTTAAATACAGATTCTTCAGTCAATTTCTAAAATGATTAAAATATTTAGGCATGGTGTAAATTGCCAAAGTGAATCACATGCCACACATTGAGATATACATGTGTGTGGGTCTATCATAAGGACCAGAGAAGAAACTTGAAGAGTTAGAGACACATACAAATGTTTATAAAAAGCAACTAAATGACAAAACAGTTAATGATGCTGAGTATGATGAGAGGATGTTGAGCTGTATTTTTGCCTGAAGAATCCCTGTTTTAAAGAACATGCTGACATTAGTTTTTGTTTGGTTTGTTGTTTAACGCCGCACTCAGCAATATTCCAGCTATATGACGGCGGTGCTGACATTAGTGCTATGTCTACAATGACAACTTCTCTTGGACTTCTTATTCTTCTGAACACGCTATTTGTCCATCATAAGGAAGAAGTCACAATCATTGGGAATAGGTCTCCAGCCGTTGTATAAGGATGTTTTACAAGCATGTCCTATTCATACAACAAATACAAGTATTTGTATGATGGTTCAGACCATACAGAAGACATGTTCCAATGTCAAAAATGTCAATATACATTATTTAATCTATGGAAGTTGTTGGCAAGTGAAGGTTATTTGACTGACAAGTTAGACAAGTGGACAAGGTGTGGACATTCGGAGTGAGTGGACAGACAGAGTACATGTATGTCAGTAGCAAGCAAACAGTCAATACCGGCTCCCACTTGTCAGCACTTGACGGCAGCTCCTGAAATTGATGTAGTAACGGTAAATATTTAACCAACATTTTATAAACGAAATCATGAGGCCAGAACAAAATAATGATTTGATTTAAGAATTCACCCAAACATTTCTGAAGGCAGGAGGGATTAAAGGAGGGGCAAAAAGCAATTCAAACAGAAAGGAAATCAAAAGTATATTGTGAAAATACAACCTATTGGGGAGGACATGGCATATTTCTTTATCATTGTTTTCAAAGAGGGAAAGTAAATCAATCCTTAAATTGTTCTGGTATGATTGTGGAGAATTGTTTCCCATAGTTCTGTAACCATGGTAACTGTTTATACTGTGTCCTCTTCCTCCTGTGTATAAGACTAAGTCTGCAAACTACCAACTGACCACACTGTACACACACTGCTCAATACACATACTAGGTATATAATATACATTTGTCAATGTTAACTCTTTGGATTCTTTTCCATACTGTCAAACATTTGTCTGGAATTACAAATCTGTTTGCCTTATCTCAGATAAATTACTTGTAATCCCAATTATGAGCATGGTTAGGACTGAACATGTTGAAAAAAAACACATTGCCAAAAGAAATACTAGCAACTTTAACGCAATCAATAGTTTCGAAGGAATTTTACTTGAAGCCATTGGGTTTGGTAGTATGGTGGAGTAAAATGAGCCCCATTCTTAAATTGTTTAGTTTGTTATGATTAGAAACAAGCGGTCTGTGCTATTTACTGAAGTGAACACATTAAGCATGTTAAGAGTATTGATGATGACATCACAGCCCCTGGATCAGCCCTGACCCTACACAACAATGGTCAACTTACCAAGATTAAAGCAGGTAGAGCATAATACAAGGATCAGTGAAATATGACTTCTCAGCCATAACAAAATAAAAATACATACACACTGACAGGCTGAAATCAGCCTACACATAATGTTGGAGAAGGTGACCCCCGGTTGATGAACAAGACATTGGATATGAGTAACAACTACACACAACACGGAGTCAACAGGAAAAAGACTATCAAACATTAACATGGAAGGCACATCAGTGTTAGAAGCAGGCACAATGATTGGCCTGAAAAGGTACAATTGTCTGTAAGCGAGGTGAATCTAAATCAATTTACAAATGTAATGATCTCCAAGTACATTGTCAGACCCTAGTCTCATCACACAGGTAGCAAGGGCAGCCACAAGCCAGATCTGTTTGTTTCTTCTGACAATGAAATCCAAAATGTCTAAAAGGTGTTTTGAAGTCATACAGAAGAATTTCCAATTAAAAGTTGATAAAATCATTTTACAAAATTAGACAATCCATTAAAAATATAACAATTTCATACATATTTCTGTTCACTAAGTCAACCACTCCAATGTTAGTTTGTTAGATATTGTGCAATAATGACAGAAAAAAAATGCAAGATTATAGAAATCTACTATTTCATGATTAGCCCATTCGACACCATGAAATTTCCTTCATTTTTTGTATCATCAAAATCGCATCCATTGGCAATGGCCACTAGATCAGAGTTACCTCCCTTCATCTTGCATCTGTATCGCCAAGGAGTGAGTGAGTGAGTATGCTTTTACGCCGCTTTTAGCAATATTCCAGCAATAACACGGCGGGGGACACCAGAAATGGGCTTCACACATTGTACCCATGTCGGGAATCGAACCCGGGTCTTCGGTGTGACGAGCGAACGTTTAAACCACTAGGCTACCCGACCGCCCCTTATCGCCAAGGAAGGACAGCAACCACGACAAGGAGGGACCATGTGACGTTTATGCCCTTTGCAGATTAGCCACACGTGTCGATACTCAAGACTATTTGGTGTGAGATGAGGTGGGAGATGAGGTGGGAGATGAGGTGGGAGAAATGGGGTCGTCACTGTTGTGAAGGATTGTAGTTCCACAGATTAATTTTCGTTCCACTTTTAGTTTTGACTTTCCGCATACAATTCCCAATTTTCAAGTTTTGAATGAAAAACAAGATGGCACTCCACACCATTCTGTAACCACGTGCTCTGGACAATAAATCCTTGAAACTTCGAACATACACTTCTTTTCAGTCATGTTCAAGATTACTGCACTTACATAGAGAAGGGCATGCACGGTTGTGTGTGTGTCACTCCTTGGACTAGCCCAGACCAGATCGGTTTTACAATGCTAGCCTACTGAGATACTATTCTGCAGTTTGACATTGATACCAAACACAGACACAGCATACTGACACCAAAACAAACAATACTTGTTATATTGCCTAATGACAAACACCAGGTAGGGTAACAAGTATCATCTTTTACATCGTTTGGTGTGACACAATCGGGGATTGAACCTCCGACCTTCTGCTGGTGTGAGGCTGACGAATATGTGACACAGCGGCCGATCCAACGCTGGTCTTCCTGCAACAGTGAGGAGTTCTGGTAACCACATCCACCTCGGCCAATAAGGCGCTACCGAAATGAGACAGAGCTGCTGTGTATCCTACCCCCTGCAGTAGCAATGGAAGGTTGGTTGGTTTATTGTTTAACGCCGCACTCAGCAATATTCCAGCTATATGACGGCGGTCTGTAAATAATCGAGTCTGGACCAGACAATGCAGTGATTAACATCATGAGCATCGATCCATGCAATTGGGATCGATGACATGCATCAACCAAGTCAGCGAGCCTGACCACCCGATCCCGTTAGTCGCCTTTTACGACAAGCATAGTCACCTTTTACGGCAAGCATGGGTTGCTGAAGACCTATTCTACCCCGGAATCTTCACGGGTCACCAATGGAAGGACTAGAAGCGAAAACATCTAAACATGAAAATTTGCCTGATTGATTGCCAGAGCATCGAGATCTCCTGCTCAAGGATCCGGAACCAGGGAAACAAATACTGAAAGTTGATGTGGAAAAGGAGATCTTGATGGCTAGGATGACTGCCCAACACTCAAAATAATATGCTATGAACACATGCAATGAAATTGCACCACAACTAAAGATGAGCTTAAGATCTAAAAATATGCAAAATCAATGGTGAAAAATCTTAGAAAGTAATTGTCTGTGACAAGCCCAACTGAGACAAGCTTTCAATATGGTGTTTACAATAAGAAGCGCATCAAGGGAAGTAACTCTAAACAAGTGACCATAGCTAGTGGGTGCACTAAACTAGGTGCAATCACGATTCACTCTGTATTATAGATATTGAAGAATGAAAGAAACTGCATACCATTGTCTCAGGATCAGAAATAATTAGTAAATTAATAAATTAAACACCCTCCTCCAAATTGAACATTCTGTATCACTTATCACTGCTCATAGTGCCAGTGCATAATACATGGTTTCATCCAATGGGAGACCTTATCCCACATCCACAACCACCAGGGACTTATCCAGACCTGCTCTGAGGCCTACATTCGGCACAAGTCTACAGCAAATGTCAGTAAAAATTTCCCAATCAGAACATTTGCAACTAATGCCGTGTAGTTATTGCTGAGGTCAGCAGTACGAGGAAAAGGCTTTAATATTTAGTTTTACATTGTTGCATTGAATGCAAAGTACTTCTGAAGAAAATATTTACAAAAATCTTGGAGTAAATTAACTATTTTTTCAAAATTGCCTGCTAAAGACACTTAGTTTGGAATCTGGGACAAATCCCTGACATACGATATGTTCCCCTCGGCTCGCCCCGACTCAATCTCACAGGTCAGTGCTGCGGGAGATCTTGTGACACAGCACCTGTGGCATTAAACCATTATCAAGACTATAGCATTTCCATTTCAAGATGTGTTCTTTGCATGAAATCAGATGAATACAAAATTTGCTGTATTTAAAAGAGTCCCAGAAGGTGTTGACTTGAATGTAGGTCGAGGAACTAGCTGAGCAGGTGGGAGGAGTAGTGCAAACAAGACATTCTCCTCTTTTTCAACTCATGTCTATGTGCTCAACAGTGACCCTTCACAGAAGAAACTAAAAAACCCAATACATACAGGGAGAAGCAGAAGGCTGTCACCAGCCAGATTAAACCCATTACCTTCCGATACTGACGAGACCGGATGTCAGTGTGCCGTGAGCTGGCAGGTGCTGCAGCCTAGTTCACACAGAAATAGACAAGATCATGCTCACACGTTTAGGACTGTTGTAACAATTCTTCTCCAATTACAAAATGACAGTATTATTACATAAATTAACCCCTAACCAGCATCCTACTCTGATAGAAAAAGATCATGTTTACACAATCGATATAAGTCACAGTGATACTGAATATAAACAAAGAACAAGTTCATCTAGCATGTCCAGTAGATGGCATCTTTTTTAAGGCAAGGGAGTTAGTTAACTGACTACAAAAGTCCAGTTTCCACCCTTGCCAAACTAGGCTGGAATTTCTGGGCTCGATTGTAGCGCCATCAGTGGCTATTGCAAGTTATGTCCCTTCTATGCCCCTCTTATTGACCAATCAGATTCAACCTTGCATATCACTTGCATTTGCTTCAAACAAAATGGCAGCACCCAGTCAAGACGATATGATAGATGATCAAGATCTATATGGTAGCAAAACAGGTCTTACTTTGTGAAGTGCATCATGCAAGCCCCTTGATTAAACACATGAAAAGATTCCGAAAAAATCTGTCGAAACCCAGTTGACGGAACGGATCCTTTGCACATCCTGCAGTCGACTGAAATCTGCACTTTGAAATCCATGTTGTTTACGAACTGGATGTCTATTTCGTTATGCGATTTTGATTGGATTATGCATATACTCGTTAGTACAACCAAAATATAACTTCATTATTCCAGTCTAGTTTGGCAAGGGTAGAAATTGGAGTTAAGTAAGAAGCAAGATGGTCGCTTGATGTTGGACTCACCCTGTGTTGCCAGTGGTCTGAAGGCCACAACGATGCAAAGCCAATGACTGTTTTATTGTGTCCCTAGATCACCAACATTGAATACTCATGTAATGATTTCAAACAGCTAAAACTTACTGACAACCATGTTAACAGCGCAGACACAAGCCAGGAGTTAACAAGAAGAACAATAACAGTCACCATATACAAAGTAACAAGTGCAATATTGTACAAAACCAATGGTGCCATTACAAAGCAATGAAATTGCAAGAGACGAATGGCATCAGGATATTTCCATGTTTGCAAAGGACATACTTCTCTAGCTTTATTAAATTTGAAAATCAATGTTGTAGAAAATGAAAGGATCTGAAACCATGAACATCCTCTGATGAAAGTGTCATGCTCATCCTAACAAACAATACGAGTTGCTCCTCCCTCTCTGGCATTTCAGACCTATATAGATTGGTATATCTAGGTCATGGTCGGTATACGTAGGTCATAATCAGTATATCTAGGTCATTGTCTGTATATCAAGGTCATGGTCAGTATATCTAGGTCATGATGTGTAGGTCATTAGGTTGGCCAATCTGTCCATACATACATTTCCAGTGCTTGAAAATAAGCAACAGAGTGACAGGTTCCCTATCACAACCCTAATGTTGCATGTTAGAGGGAGGGGGGGAAGGACAGTCCAAGATTCAAACAATACCTTAAAACCTTATTAAACTTCTTATACAATGGCTGGATGCTTTTGATGGATTGATACAGAAAAACTTCTAAAGCTTCTCATCATTTCTGTTTGTTATTTAAATCTCCGTGCCATAAGATCAGACTTCAAAACAAAAAAAACTGTCAGGAACTGGGTCACTTGATTACCTATAGGTCACTCGTTATGGGCAGACAAACAAGTTTCTAGATTTTGGTCTTCCAACTGTTACCATGGTTACCGCAAACAAATACAAGGAAGAACATGAGAAAGTGAGTGAACATAACACATGAATAATCTGCTGACCACCTGACTAGTCCATCAGACTGGCGTCAGGAAACAAACTGAAATGTGAATAACAATATCATGATTTCATAAACCAGTGACCAGTCATCTTCATGACTCGCTGCTACAAAACACACACATTCATAGTAACGTGGAACAGATGAGCAGTATGTTGGAGAACATGGCTGACATACATCATGTCCATTAACCCTGATCTAGGAAACACTAACACCAACAATCAAGTTGCCACGGATACATCATTGAATGAGTTCTGGCGTCAGCACCAATCTAAGTTCACAGTTGACATGGTTGAGATACATCTTATAGATGGACATTCATGTTTGCTGAGTTCTTGTGATTTTAACATGGTTAATGTGATTAGATAATGTTTACTACTAAGAACATGCAATATCATTGGTCCGCCTTCCCATCCCATCATTCCAAGTGAGTTTCAAAACATTGGTCTTGAGTAATATTCCTTGTATACAAGTCAACATTCCGAACAGTATCACCAGTAGTCCAGACTAATAAGGTTTCACTGTACAAGGAATAACAGGTGGACCAATGATATTGACGAGTAAAGAATGACTCCCTGCTCAGTGCTCAAAACTGTAGGAAACAAATAACAATATATGCAGTAGACCAATTAACTGCTTGAGTTACTCAAAGTCAATCATCTTCAAAGACCCCTTAACAGCAATTATTTTTCATCCTTAATTGCTAAATTTTAGTATAAATGGTATTATCATGATTATTGATTATGACAAAGTCAAGAACAAACAAGTTAGTGAAATTCTCATCATATTACCTTACCATGCATTGCAATCATATAACTGATGTTCCCAGGTGATGACCTACCATGTGAGTTGCTTCTTCGTCTAGCTCATCTCCAGCATTGGAATACTGCGACCGCTGACGGCGCATCTTGTTCAATGCATTCTCTTCCGTCTTGGTCAAGTCATTGTCAGCTTCCTCAATCTGTTTTCCAGCCCGGCCATTATCAAGGTTAGAGGTCAAAGCCTCTCTTTCAGTTTCACCCTCCTTAGTTTCATCTTTCTCGGTTTTGCTATCCTCCTCATCTGGGTCCTTCTTCTTATCCATTTTATTCTTTTTTCAAGAGAATTTCTAAAAAACAAATGCTTCACATTTGTAATCTATGAAACAAGGTTGTCAGTGTGGAAGCACTTTGCACAAATGCACTGTGCGTGATCTAGCCATACTCATATATAAACATTCATAAAGTGAGTATAGTTTTACTAGTTTTAGCAATATCACAGCAGTGGACACCAGAAATGGGCTTCACACATTGTGACATAATCGTAAATGGCTAGTGATCTTTCATTGTGGTGGTGTGAGTTGAAATGGAGCTTTAGATTATTGCACTTATATAGTGCATGAACTAGAAGCATTAGACTGTCACTAGTGTCAGGCTTGGTTAATGCATGTCATCCTGTCCCAAATGCGTAGATCAATGCTTGTGATGTCAATCACTGGATTGTCTGGTCCAGACTTGACAATAATTTACAGAATGTTGTCATATAGCTGGGTGCCGTATTTAACAAACAAACAAGGATCTCGTCTACCCATACTGCAGCTCTGGGCGAAAGATCTGTTGTTCATGTGACCCATTCTCTAAATAACATGTCATTGTGATGGGAGAGATATCAGAACGTAGCATCGATGGAGTAAAATATTGCCATGTTTTGTTTATCAAGTATCAGTGACCCTGGCCTTCTCACAAACAGGATTACGTTACAAATCTAATGAAGACTGTCGCGTGCTTCGGCGAACAGACGCTTAGAACTATGAACTGCAATAATGTTCAGTCTGTTTGAAATACTGGACTTTAAGAAACGAGGCCCAGTAAACAATAGGTTAACATCTACGAATTCCCATCTTTCTTTAGTCAGTGACATGTATGTTTTTTCCACAAACATGTTTGTTCAGTCTACCTTCTACGACTGGAGTGGAACACTGTCACAGGACGAGACGGAGGAGACGAACTGACTTTTCTCGGTCAAAGATACATAGCACAGTCATCCCTTATGTAGCGGCATAAAATTTCCGAGTCCCGTGATGGGATTCGAACCACGGACCTTCTGAGCGGAGGTCGGATGCCTTGTCCACATGACCAAAGAGGTTAACCCCGTCAGCAATCTGACAAGGTAAGGATGTCATCTGTGGGATGACTCCACGCCCAGCTACATACTCCCCCGTCAACAGAAGGCACGTCCCGGGCCGCATAGTAGGGTACTGAGGCTTATTTTGCTCAAATTTAATATGAACGTGCTCAGCCCCGAGTTGGGCGCCAAATTTGTAGCCGGGGTAGTGGTTTTTATCCGGCTCGGGCCGTTGGGAAACACAGACACAGGCAGATGGTGATAATGGATTTATTTCAAGGGGGGTGGCTGCTGTTGAAGAACTACCTGAAGAAAAGAAAATGTCCTTCCTCCTCAACAGCAGCACATGAAGTGAGGAGGAAGTCAGGTATGGAAGGAAGCTACCTGTAGAGGACCAGGGTGGCCAATTAGAAGACAGATTGCATTAAGCATCAAAGGAAGTGCTTAATGCAAGATATAAATAGACTGAGGGAAACCCTACAGGTGTAAAAAATGTCTAAAGATAGACAGAAGGTTGAAGGGGAAGATCTGGTGAGAGATTCCCAGAGACTGAAAATAAGGGTGTTGAGTTGTTTAAAGAGTTAGATACTGATATTCAACTGTAGACAAGACAAACATTGAACATATAGATGATTATGATGATGATGTATGAATAATGATATAACTATAGGGTACCCTGCTACACGCACCCCCCTTTTGGGAATGGTGCCCTCACCATACGCAGCTGAAAACAGACGAACAGCCAAGGAAAGGAGCAGGATAACAAAAGGTTGCAGAAAATTAAACCTGAGAAAGCAATAACATGTGCTCAAACATATATACAATGGACTAAGTAGAGAACTATACCCAAACCATGTTCTGTTTCACCACCCATTGACCGTCAGTCATCCACTTTGGTTTCTGGCGTGACCTGCCAGGTCTTGTAACCACTGGTGGGGTGACAGAAGATAATTCTGGAACAACAGAAGTGGAAGGGCTGGAAGGCACTGGGGAAGTCGAAATTCCTCCAGGCAACTCGAGTGACGGCAACACCATAGATGGCGTCGTTGAAGAGGGAACACCAGATAATTGAGCTGGTGGTGACCTTGGAAACGAAGGAGTTTCAACCGGCTGACCCAATGGAGAACCCCCAGGCACTGGAGATAAAGGAATTTCCACATCCAGGTCGGTTGTAGAAATCTCCAAAGCGGTGTTGGAGGTATCACCAGGTACAGCGGAAGCTCCTAGAGAAGGCGGAGGGCTCCGAGGTTTAGGAATGGGACGGCCATCCGAACCAATGGGAAGGAGTAAATTGCGGTGAAGTACACGATGCTCCCTAGTGCCTTCCTTGCGGACTTTAAACACAGGAACATTAGAATTCGGCTGTGATTCCACCACATAGAAATCTTTCTCCCATCGGTCGGCAAGCTTCTGTTTCCCACGAATGTTGACATTGCGGACCAACACAACATCACCTACCTTAACAGTAGCACCACGAGCCTTCAGATTATAAGTCTTCCTCTGTTTGGCCCGGGCCTTGTCCATGTTTTGAGTAGCGAGCTCATACGCAGTTGTCAACTTGCGCTTCAAATCAGCAGCAAACTGCGTATAAGATGGCGATGAAGTGTTGGCGAGAGACGTGCCAAAGGCAACATCAACAGGCAGTCTAGGATGTCTGCCGAACATGAGAAAGTAGGGCGTGAACCCAGAAGACTCGTGCAAGGTACAGTTATAGGCATGGACCACATGAGCAATATGGTCCTTCCAACGTGCCTTTTCCTGATCCTGCAGAGTCCCGAGCATCCCAAGAAGTGTCCGGTTAAACCGTTCACATAACCCGTTCCCCATGGGGTGATAGGGAGTTGTCCTTGTTTTCTGTATCCCAAGTATGCTGCACATTTGTTTGATAACATCACTTTCGAAATTCCGTCCCTGATCTGAATGTAACCTTTCAGGGAGGCCATAGTGTACGATAAAGTGCTCAAACAAGGCCTTTGCTGTTGTTCGCGCTGTTTGATTACGAGTTGGAATCGCAACAGCATACTTGGTGAAGTGGTCAGTAATGACCAGAACATTTTCGTAACCACCAGATGAAGGTTCCAGACTGAGATAGTCAACACACACCATTTCCATGGGTTGAGTGGTCTGAATGTTGACCAATGGTGCGCGCTCAGTCTGATTAGGAGCTTTCCGAAGAATGCACCTCTGGCAGCTACGAATGTGGTTCTCGACATCTCCCATCATTCCTGGCCAATAAAACCTCGTCCGTAGGAGAGCCACAGTCCTGTCCCTACCCAGATGCCCCATCCCGTCATGAAGATGAGTAATGACGGATTCTCGTTGAGGCTCTGGGACAATGAGTTGAAAGTAGGGATAATCACCTTCTGTAGTCTTCTGTCTCCTATAAAGGAGATTGTTATTGATGGAGAGAGCATCCCACTGCCTGAGGATTGAAGCTGTGTCACGATCAAATGACCTAAGAGACTCCTTTGAAGGGCGCTGATCTTTACGGAGAAGGTCCACAATCGTGCAGATTGAGGGGTCCGCCTGCTGACAAGATAGCATCTGATGATCAGTCCCAACATTGGTAGACTCGAAATCATCAACTGCTAAAACACAGTTCAATACCTCATGACAAAGTGAGAGCGTCTCTACAACACTAGACGTCTGCTGACTGTTGCAAACCGCAGACACAGATTGGATATCCATGACCTCACGTGGCAACCTGGACAACGCATCAGCATCCTTGTTCCTTGCCCCTGGTACATACTCTACAGAAAAGTCGTAAGCAGCAAGGTCAGCGAGCCAACGATGTCCAGTTGCATCCAATTTCGCTGATGTTAAAACGTAAGTGAGGGGGTTGTTGTCGGTCTTAACGGTGAATGGGTTGCCATACAGGTAGTCATGGAACTTCCTGGTGACAGCCCATTTCAGAGCTAGAAACTCTAATTTGTGAGCTGGGTAGTTGCGCTCTGATTTGGAAAGCCCTCGGCTCGCATAGGCTATCACTCGTTTCTGGCTATTTTGGGTTTGGTAAAGTACCGCGCCTAAGCCATCGCCACTTGCATCAATGTGCAGTTCGAATGGCTGAGTGAAGTCTGCGAAAGCCAAAATGGGAGCGCTGATAAGTTTACCAACAAGCTCACTGAAAGCCGACTGCTGCTCCTCCCCCCATATCCAGTTCTGGTCGGGTTTGCTATTTTTCCTTTTCTTGCCGGATTGACCAACAAGTAAATTTGTCAAGGGCTTTGCAACTTTGGCATAATTAGGCACAAAGCGACGATAATATCCAGAGAAGCCAAGAAAACGACGAACATCATCCACATTCTGTGGAACTGGCCAGGTCTCCAGTGCCGCAATCTTCTCAGGGTCTGTCGTGATACCCTCCTCAGAGATTACGTGACCCAGATATTTCACAGAGGTCTGCAAGAACTGGCACTTAGAAGGCTTAAGTTTGAGGCCATTCTTGCGCAATCGAAGAAAGATTGCACGTAATCTCTCCAGATGCTCATCAAAGGTCTTTGAAAACACAATGATGTCATCAAGGTAAATGAGACACTGTAGGAGATGGATGTCGCCCATACATCTCTCCATAAGACGTTGAAAAGTTGCGGGAGCATTTGTGAGACCAAAAGGCATCGAGTTACACTCGTAAAATCCTAATGGACCAACCGTAAAAGCAGTACGGGCTTTATGTTCCTCAGCAACTTCGACCTGCCAATAGCCCGACTTCAGGTCAAGACAAGTGAAGTACTTGGCACCATGAAGTGCATCAAGGGTCTCCTCAATCCGTGGTAAAGCATAAGAGTCTCTAACTGTACGACTATTAAGTTGGCGATAGTCTATACAGAAACGTAAAGACGAGTCCCTTTTGCGAACAAGAACCACGGGAGAGGCATAAGGACTAGAAGAAGGACGAATAACCTTAGCATCCAACATGTTCTTCAGATGGTCCTTAACCTCTTGATACAATGCAGGTGGAATGCGCCTATGTCTTTCCCTGAAAGGACGTTCATCAGTTAGCTCAATCCTGTGAGTGACTAAGTCTGTGTGGCCCATATCCATATCAGACTTGCTGAAGATGTCATCAAACTCACTAAGAAGATCGCGAAGCTTTGCTATTTCCTCTGGAGTATGTATCTGACCCAGGGTTTCTAAATTGAAAATGTCTTTAGGCTCGGGGCCAGATGTGAAAGCCGGCTCATCCGTAGAGGAGAGACCATCTAAGACATCTACTTGCTCTAAACAACAAAGTACTGTCTTGGCTGGAATAGTAACAGCCTTGGTAGATGGATTGGCAACCTCAACCTTAATCCTATTTGTAGACTGTCCTGGTATAAAATTCACAACCCCATTAACAAGGTTAAGTGAACCAGGTAGTGTGGGGGCAGCTGTAGTACAAAACTGCATGCCAATCCGAGGTGGTTTACCCCTGCTTATACCTGCAATAATCTGATTACATAAAGCAGGGATAACAATTGGCTTGGTTGTCCGCACACACTCAGTCCGGTTAAGGTCTTCCCGACGCCTAATGAGCCATTGCTGAGCCTGACTCCAAGGTGATGCAGTGGCTGCTATTGGTGCACCATGCAGGCTTTCAGCAGCAGTCATGACATTTGTCCCTAATAGTAAAGGCACCTTGAAGTGGTAGTCAGTATTGGGCACTACAAGTATCGGTATAGTTACCTCAACTTCCTGGGGTAGTGGTTTTTATCCGGCTCGGGCCGTTGGGAAACACAGACACAGGCAGATGGTGATAATGGATTTATTTCAAGGGGGGTGGCTGCTGTTGAAGAACTACCTGAAGAAAAGAAAATGTCCTTCCTCCTCAACAGCAGCACATGAAGTCATATATTTGCAAGTTTACAGGTATTATTTATCTTAAATATAAAAGTACAAAAGCCATTGATAAACTATACTAAAACTAACTTTAATGTTAAATTACTGTTATATGTTCATTATAGGATACTTGGAAAGCACATGGTCCAAAATGGACCATGTGGTTAATTATTTTACAAGCAAGTTTTATAATATCAATATTCCATTTACTAATTTAATATTACTTTAAATGATATTATATATATATTATTCAATTTAATTCAGCACCCTAATATAGATATTAATTTCTGACAGAAGCAGATGAAAACAGATTGAAATATGGCCATTCAAAATGTCTTTAGGCTCGGGGCCAGATGTGAAAGCCGGCTCATCCGTAGAGGAGAGACCATCTAAGACATCTACTTGCTCTAAACAACAAAGTACTGTCTTGGCTGGAATAGTAACAGCCTTGGTAGATGGATTGGCAACCTCAACCTTAATCCTATTTGTAGACTGTCCTGGTATAAAATTCACAACCCCATTAACAAGGTTAAGTGAACCAGGTAGTGTGGGGGCAGCTGTAGTACAAAACTGCATGCCAATCCGAGGTGGTTTACCCCTGCTTATACCTGCAATAATCTGATTACATAAAGCAGGGATAACAATTGGCTTGGTTGTCCGCACACACTCAGTCCGGTTAAGGTCTTCCCGACGCCTAATGAGCCATTGCTGAGCCTGACTCCAAGGTGATGCAGTGGCTGCTATTGGTGCACCATGCAGGCTTTCAGCAGCAGTCATGACATTTGTCCCTAATAGTAAAGGCACCTTGAAGTGGTAGTCAGTATTGGGCACTACAAGTATCGGTATAGTTACCTCAACTTCCTGACCTAAGAAGTCACTAGGGATTAGGATTATAGCTTCAACATACCCCAAGTAGGGTAGCTTAGCTTCCCCGGCTCCTTTTAACTTCAAGAGTGAACCTAGACTATGGAGTGTATGTTGAGGGAGGTTATTTGTGTAAAATGTCTCGGACATAGTGGTAACCTGGGACCCTGTGTCTACAAGAACATTACATAAGTGGCCTTCTACCCTAACAGATGTGACGTTTGCGGGACCAATCAAATTTGATGGCAACCCAGAATTGGAGCTAATGTCGGAGTCCAATGTTCGCCCCATAACATTGACTCCTAGGAGTTTAAAGCGGGGCACTGTGGGTGACGCCGCCTAACCCCTATCTTCCCGCAATCATAACAGTGTACCTCAGTTTTTGAGGCTAACTGTGATTGAGAAGCATATGGTGTACGTGATGTGCTACCTTGTGTAACTACATTTGTAGTGGTAGACCTAGGGGGTAGATTCTGAGCCTGAGATTGGGCCTTATTGGCTTGATTCTGGGCTGTATTTGAGGGCCTATGAGATTTATACTCCAGGGTGTTAACCCTATCCCCAACAGACCTAAGGTTCTTATCAATCACCTTTAGGCGGAATAGCACATCATCCAGTTGTCTGTTGCTAGTTGTAGTGGTAGTCAATTGACATGATTGTGCATCCCCAGGGGTGGCTAACTCCTCCTCAACCCTACGGACAGCAAGCAGCAGCTTGTTATAGTCCGTACCTGAATCAAAGTGATGGCGAGTCGCTTGCTTCAGGTCATCACGAGTGAGACCCATCCAGAACCGGCTTCGAAGCAAGCTAGGTGCAGCATTGTGTGGTAAAGTGCCAGATGCCTCTATCTTGGAGATCAAATCCCGGAGGCGGCAACTCCACACAGCGACAGACTCATTCTTTTCCTGGCGGGCAGTGTAAAAACGCTCCATAAGCGTCTCGCCAGGCATCACATTGCCAAACACTAAGTCCAACTGCTCAATAGCAGTGTCAAGGGTAACAGTTTCTGAAAGCCCACTAAGTAGGTCAGCAGCTGAACCCTTGGCGGACCTCCGCATGGCATTTAGAATTGAAGTGTCCGAGAATGCATTCTCCCTACGACACCCAACAATCTCTAAATGCCATTGCTTATACTTGACCTCACCCTTGGTCCCATCCCCAGAAAATGATGACAACCGTGGACTGGGAGAATTGATAATGGGCATGTAAGTAGGCTGAAAGGGTGTGACAAGTCTAGGAGGAGCACCTACACTATGGCTATAAAAGGTAGTTGGATTATAACCTGGATATGGTGTTGGAATAGTGCGGCTAGGCCAAGACTCATGCGGTGTGTGTGAAGGTTGTGATGGGTAACTATTCAGGTAAGGTGTAGAAGTTGCCCTAGGCTGAACAAAGTTGTAAATTGAACCATGAGGCCTAGGCAGTGAAGCTGGTAGGTCCATCATAGGACTAAGGTTCACAGTCGCCGGAGAAATCTGAAACAGATTCTCAGAACCTGTGGGCATAGGTGACCTTGATGGTGGCGTATGACTAAGCAGATGAGGTACCGGCCTAGGGGAGTGAACAGGTAATGCCACCCTAGGACTGGTATATATTGTAGGTGGAATAGTGTAAGTATTGGACAACCCAAGACCTGGTGCACCAGTACCAGTAACACGATATGTCGTATTGGGATGCTGCAGCTGATTTGCAATATCATCTGCTAGTCTATTTAGCACACCAGTGCGGACCGAAGGATGCAGATGCTGAAGGCAGCTAAGTACCACATCAACCTCCGGGTCCCCACTTACATTAGCTTCAGCCATGGTGATACAAACTAAAGTGCAAGGATGTTTGATATGAGAGGAATATGAACTATATGACACTATCAAAACTGAAGTACCTCCTAAAAGGCGACAAGAATCTCACAAGTTAAGATCCAACAAACATCTGAACATCAACAAACTATGAGCTCCTCACCAAAGGATACAAAATGGATGCGTCTGAAGTTCAGCATCTAGTGCACCACAAGGTACAAGAACAATGAACTGCAGCTAGCCAAAAACAGAAGTAAGGGAACCAAAAGTCCTCACTGAGCTAAACTGGAAAAGCAGAAACCAAATACCAAAATACGAAGTATCTGACAAAGTCTCCAGAACAAAAGGGAAAAATACAACTTTAGTTTGCTAAGGTAAGTAATACGAAAAAGGTAAGTGGCAAGGTAGGTGTAAGAACAACTGACCACTTGTTGTAATAAGAAATATTACATGACTAAGCTACCACAATCTGGTTACCAAGCAGATGTGTAGGATAAACTAAGTCAATTACGGCAAAGATCACAACAATCTTACCAAAATGTTGCGAGCAGGAATATATATAGGAAGAACTAAGTATGAAGCAATATATAAGTTGCGAACGAGAAGTAATCAACACAAGAGTAATGAATTTGTTTTGATTTGAATGATGAACTAAGATGATGAAATGGTATGAATGAATAGGACGGCACAAGGACAAGACATGATATGGCAAATGTTAGTTGAGCAGATAAGGAATTTCCCAGCAGTGAAAAATATTTCAGACAGGAAAGAAGAGTGAGAAATTTAAAGTAAGAAATATGAAATAACTATTTTAGGGTACTTACTTTGCCAAAAGGTATCCAAGTGACTTAACAAATTAAATGGCTTATCTTATACCAGTAAACTGCAAATTAATTTAATAAAATTCATTGAATGAAGATGAAAATTACAATATATCACAATTAGCTATCACAGTTAAAGGGCAGTATAAATAGAATTTATCAAAATTCTGTAAAGATATAGGTTGATTTTAAATAAGAATTTAATTAAATGAGAATTCTGCAATGATAACTCAGAATGGCAACAAGTGGGTCACACAGCTGTACAACTTTACAGTTGTCAACAGTGCTTCCTAAGTGGAAAATATGATGATCACAAGTGTGAAAAGATAAAGTTTCAAAAATGTTCAAGTAATGGTGATGAACATATCAAGCATATATATATATACAATGAAACAGTCAACTAATGACATTCTGATAAAATTTAGTTCAGAATGTAAACAAAGTTCATGGTCACAGTTCACAGATCAAAAGTTCATGTGTGAACAAAATGACAAATACATGTAAATCAGTTAAAATAAAAGTCACACTTCCAGGAATTGGAGGAAGCACCTCAATTTTAGCACTGATGCAGACGAAAAGTTCAACGTCATAACAAAGTGTAGATCACTGACGATTGAGGATCAAGATTTAATTTTAGTCAGAGTTATAGCTCAACGCTACACACAAAACTTCCACAAGTTGCATGGAAGAAACATCCTGAATCTTCAATGAAGAATCCTTCAACAGTGATGAAGGATTACCCCCAGAACACGATGAAGTTGATGAAGCCTGTGTCCAGAGTGACAGCCAACGGCCCCACGTTGGGCGCCAAATTTGTAGCCGGGGTAGTGGTTTTTATCCGGCTCGGGCCGTTGGGAAACACAGACACAGGCAGATGGTGATAATGGATTTATTTCAAGGGGGGTGGCTGCTGTTGAAGAACTACCTGAAGAAAAGAAAATGTCCTTCCTCCTCAACAGCAGCACATGAAGTCATATATTTGCAAGTTTACAGGTATTATTTATCTTAAATATAAAAGTACAAAAGCCATTGATAAACTATACTAAAACTAACTTTAATGTTAAATTACTGTTATATGTTCATTATAGGATACTTGGAAAGCACATGGTCCAAAATGGACCATGTGGTTAATTATTTTACAAGCAAGTTTTATAATATCAATATTCCATTTACTAATTTAATATTACTTTAAATGATATTATATATATATTATTCAATTTAATTCAGCACCCTAATATAGATATTAATTTCTGACAGAAGCAGATGAAAACAGATTGAAATATGGCCATTCCATACCTGAAGAAAAGAAAATGTCCTTCCTCCTCAACAGCAGCACATGAAGTGAGGAGGAAGTCAGGTATGGAAGGAAGCTACCTGTAGAGGACCAGGGTGGCCAATTAGAAGACAGATTGCATTAAGCATCAAAGGAAGTGCTTAATGCAAGATATAAATAGACTGAGGGAAACCCTACAGGTGTAAAAAATGTCTAAAGATAGACAGAAGGTTGAAGGGGAAGATCTGGTGAGAGATTCCCAGAGACTGAAAATAAGGGTGTTGAGTTGTTTAAAGAGTTAGATACTGATATTCAACTGTAGACAAGACAAACATTGAACATATAGATGATTATGATGATGATGTATGAATAATGATATAACTATAGGGTACCCTGCTACACTTACACCATAAATGCATATACTATAACCGCCCATAGAGAAAAAAATACAAACCTTTTCTAATGTTGTGCCATAATGTCATATATTTTGCAAGACTTCTAACTTGCGAAATCGACTTCCTATTAGTGTTTACGTCGCTAACTGCGCCACCTACTTCCTGTCCTGCCAATACTGGGATACTGTCTACTGGCTGATAGAGGTATACAACGCATTTGAACATAGAAACTAGTCTAAGACTTCTTCTTTTTTTTTAAATAATACCGGTATACATGTACCGTTCTGCTGTCTTTGACATTAGTTTTCATACTTTTGACAGCTGCTCGTAATGATACGAAAGTCTTGATAAATGGAAACTCACGGAATTGAAGGACTCGTCGCGAAAGTGCGCGGACACCAGCACCGGTAAACCGGCAGCCACACCAGCCACAGAACGATGTTACTAATAATAACAACAAACATGTATGTTGATACTGATTTTACTGAACGGGTGTCAGAATTATTGCATTTCCCGATATAAATAGTCTAATATGATAACGTTATTTACTTAAAGTATGTAGTGTTGGGTAAATATATTCCAAAATGTTCATTCCAACTTTTACTGTCAGACAGACGTATTACGATTGATGAACTTGAGAAAGACACCGATCTAAGCCATGGATCCATTGCAACTATCATTCATGAAATTTACAGATTAGTAATATATCTGCTCGTTAGGTGCGAAAGTTTCTAAATTCTGATCTTAAGGAAAAAGAACTGACATTTCCAGAGGGAATTCAGAGTTAACTGAGGAGAGATAATAATTCAAAAGAGATAAGTATAACGGGTGATGAAACATGGGTTCACCACTATGATCCTGATTCAAAACGTCAATCCAAGCAATGGCACCATTTCACTTCTCCGGCACCAAACACATTCAAGTGCTCAAGATCAGTGAAGAATTTTCAGGGATGCAAAGGGTGAGGAATACTGATTGCTGGAGTTATACTACTTCATGACAAAGCCTCTTCTCACACCTCTCGACTTGCATAGGCTGCTGTGCGACAATATGGTTTCGAAGAGCTCCCCCACCCTCTATACTCGAAAGCCCTGGCACCAAGTGAGTCCCACAAGTTTCCTTAACTGAAAGAACACCTTCGTGGAAAGCACTATGACGATAACTATGACCACATGCTGCAGAAAACTTCTTCCTGACTGGAATTGAAAAGCTTCGCTATCGATATGAGAAGTGTATTGAAAAGCAGGCAGATTATATTGAAAAAGAAATTAAAAGCAGTTTCACAATAGTTGGTTTTGTTTTTTAGGCTAAGAACGTTTTGACCAGCCATCTATTTAGGTTGTGTTTTCCTTTTCATGGCGGACATATTGGATTTATTTGGGTGGACCCATATCTGAAAATAATTGGAATGTTATTACCTACAACTGTGCCAAGTTTCATGCATTTATCACAAAGTGCACAATTGACCCCGTATCTGTCACGAAACGGCTCACCTAAAAAGTTGCAGCACGTGAAAAATATATAACACAAATTCCAGAAGACATACTATCCCTTCGCAAAAAACTAATTGATTTTACATTTCAATTGTTGGCTAATGTCCATTTCCTGAGAATGGTCATGGCCCAGCCGTAAAGTGACAGAAAATATTAAAATAAATATCAGTCACCTGTTATCACAAACAACATTTGTTGTTTCCGTGTAGGAAGTGTATCGTTATGCTGTTCATGATGTAAGCGCCAGGAGGAGAGTTCACACTTTACTGGCAGTCAGATCAGTGTTCTACATGAACCGTCGGCCCGTGGCAGCTAGATCTCGTGCTTGGCCCACAGTTTCAAATTTGTATGGGTCCCTGTGGCCTGCAGTAAATATACGGGTTGATCTATATGTACAATAAGATGCCGTTTTTTTATATAAGGGCCTGAACATGGCAAACTGGCATGTTTTTATATTTAAAACACTGAGCCAGATGCCGTCATTGTATCGGTTCAACAAAAATATCAAGAACAAAATATAATCATTTACTATATTTATGTTGCTTTCATACCACTTGAAAAAATAGTCAGTAGATGGGTGTCTGTGTATTTCCCTCAAACTGATAAAACAAAAAAATTGATAATTTGCCCCAGACGTGTCCACTTCAAGTTCCAGATGGCTAACACTACAGACCTTTCAGTTTCAAATGGTCTCGACCTTGGCGTGACTTTGGATTCCTGCCTTGGATCACACATCAACAGCGTACATCTCCATCCTCTCCGGAACACGGTCTTACGGTGGCCCAGTCGTCTAAGGCGCCGCGATTCGCTGCGTCCCTTGGGCACGCCAGAAACATATGATTGTGGGTTCGAATCCCGGTTCCCCCCGATTATTTTTCTAGGTTTGTCAGCACCATACCCGTGCTCGTGGGTTTCACCGAAGTGGTAAACGTCTGAGACCTGCATCACTTCGGGCTTTCCTCCCACATTAAGCTGACACGCCGCGATATAACTGGAATACTGTTAAAAGCGGCGTTAAACCCAACTCACTCACTCACTCACTGACGAGGAGGAACATGGCTACGACTGTGTAACATCTTAACCACTGCCCTGCTGAATCAGTTGTTGGACAAACAGCAAAAGGTGTAAAACGTATCAAGAGGTCAAATAAAACGAGGAATCCTAACCACGTGACTATAGTTCTACAAAGATCCACTGACCGCCTGTGCAATACCGGATATCTTACAATATGCTAGTCCTGGTCTTCAAATGTCTAAATGCGCAAGCTGCAGGGGTGGTTAAAAACTTCTGACCCTCACTATGATGGACTGTGTTGATGGGGCTGGTTGCTAATGTATTTTCAACATAATCCCCTCCGAGGTCCACACACCTCTGCCAACACAGCTGGAGCGCCTGGGCCCCACTGATGTAGAAGGCTTCCTCCTGGTAGTGTACAAGTCCCCCACAGTTGAAATGACGTCTTCAACATTTCCATAACGCTTGCCAGACAGTTTGGGAAGAGGTGGAAATCTGACGTGTCCAAATCTGGTGAATACGGAGTATGTTTAATTACTTCAAATAAACAAAAGCGACAGAATAAATCCTTTCCATATTCATTAGAAATCTGTGCTAAAAGCTGAGTCGATGGCACTATGACGACTATTTCATAAGCACGTGTTTATGAATCACTATCAAATAGTGATGATACCAGGTTTCGCGAAAAGATGAGCGTATCCCGCCCCATCGGCGGTACCCTCCACAAACACACGCAAAGGCAAGTCAATTGTTCCCTGCAAAAACAAGGAACATACAATACATACAATTCCCTATTGTGACCTGTACCATAACGTATTTCCTAGATTAAACGCCCGGGCGTATATTTCTTTCAGACACTCTTTACCACGGGCGTTTAGTCGTAGAGGAGAAAACTGGGAGAATTACGTGCATAAAAACTACGCAGCATTTAATCGGGTCCCGGACTTAATTCGGGAAAATGCGGTATGACACAAATCAAAATTGCATCGGACACCAGCAATATCACGGCGTGGGACATCAGAAATGAGCTTCCGTGTGACGAGCGAACGCTTTAACCACTAGGCAACCCCACCGCCCCTCCCTGGGGTGAGATGTACCCTGATGACAATGGGGGAAATGACGACTGTCGGTGTAAATCTCATGGCAATGACGCGACTCAAGAAAGCAGCAAGTGCAGAACCACACAGTGCATTCAAACCACCTATTTGTTACAATCCTCATTCGCCTTACTGTTCGTTGTTTTTATCATCTCTGTGTTTATATAACCATGTCCTACCCAGTCGATCACTTGCGTGACAGATCTGTGAAGGGCCGGGTTAAAATTTGTCTTCAGAAACCCATGCTTGCCGTAAAAGGCGACTGACGGGATCGGGTGTTCAGGGTCGCTGACTTGGTTGATGCATGTCATCGTATCCAAATTTCGTACATCGACGCTCATGATATCGATCACTGGATTGTCTGATCCATACTTGATTATTTACAGAACGGCGTCATATAGCTGGAATATTGCTCAGTGCGGCGTTAAACAACTTCCTTGATAAGGAAACGAGCACCCGTACCCACACATCGCAGACAAGACTGAAGATAAAGTCATCATTTATGCACAGCCTACACTATCATGGCTTTGACTGTGTAGCGGCCATAAAATGTCCGAGTCCCGTGATGGGATTCGAACCACGGACCTTCTGATCCGAGGTCGGACGCCTTGTCCACATGACCAAAGAGGTTAACCCCGTCAGCAAGCTGACAAGGTAAGGATGTCATCTGTGGGATGACTCCACGCCCTTCTACATACTCCCCCGTCAACAGAAGGCACGTCCCGGGCCGCATAGTAGGGTACTGAGGCTTATTTTGCTCAAATTTAATATGAACGTGCTCAGCCCCACGTTGGGCGCCAATGTAGCGGCCATAAAATGTCCGAGTCCCGTGATGGGATTCGAACCACGGACCTTCTGATCCGAGGTCGGACGCCTTGTCCACATGACCAAAGAGGTTAACCCCGTCAGCAAGCTGACAAGGTAAGGATGTCATCTGTGGGATGACTCCACGCCCTTCTACAACTGCATCGCCTCTTAAAGTTTAACATAATTCATTATAGCATCGTCGCTGTGTATGCGTGAGTAACCGGTGCTGTGGTTGTCGTGGGACTCACGGGGAAGAAACATGGCGCGCTGGAGGCTACTCTGTCTGGTGGCGCTGGTGGGGTGTTGGATGTTCATGGCAACAGGTATGTCCCCACGCGCTCTTTTATTTCAGTTTGGCATGCTTGGAATGTGATACATTACAAATAGCGTCTTATCCTGGCTATTAGCGGCGCGAGATGTTTGGGAAGGTAAATGTAATACATATAGCCATTCGGTGCCAGGCAACATGTCTGCATCTCGAGTGTGTCCTGGTGTAGCCCAGGAACAAATGAGGCGACTAACGCTGCACGTGCAGCTGGGGAATGAATTCTCCGTGCACACCACGAGCATCGTCTCGTACAAAGTACGCCATGTTTTAGCGGTGTTAAGAAACCGAAGCCACTTGTTGGAGTGTTTCTGGTCTGATTGGCCCTAGCTATATTGATCTATAGCTGAGGGTAAATAATATTTCAAACCGAGGAGAATAATTACATTGCAGTGTGTTGTACTGGGAGATGCAGAGAGTTATGTCTATACACCGAGTAGATCTGTGTCCAATACTGTCCATACAATAAGTAGACTTGTGTCATACACCAAGTAGACTTGTGTCAAACACCAAGTTGCCTTGTGTCATCCACAAAGTAGATCTGACAGTAAGACCTTTGAGGGGATCTGTCCTCTGTGTCTTGGTGTGTCTGTCCCAACTCTGTGTCTGTGTCATGGTGTGTCTGTCCCAACTCTGTGTCTGTGTCATGGTGTGTCGGTCCAAACTCTGTGTCATGGTGTGTCTATCCCAACTCTGTGTCTGTGTCATGGTGTGTCTGTCCCAACTCTGTGTCTGTCATGGTGTGTCTATCCCAACTCTGTGTCTGTGTCATGGTGTGTCGGTCCCAACTCTGTGTCTGTGTCATGGTGTGTCGGTCCAAACTCTGTGTCATGGTGTGTCTGTCCCAACTCTGTGTCTGTGTCATGGTGTGTCTATCCCAACTCTGTGTCTGTGTCATGGTGTGTCTGTCCCAACTCTGTGTCTGTGTCTGTGTCATGGTGTGTCTATCCCAACTCTGTGTCTGTGTCATGGTGTGTCTGTCCCAACTCTCTGTCTGTATCTGTGTCATGGTATGTCTGTCCCAACTCTGTGTCTGTGTCACGGTGTGTCTGTCCCAACTCTGTGTATGTGTCATGGTGTGTCTGTCCCAACTCTGTGTCTGTCATGGTGTGTCTATCCCAACTCTGTGTCTGTGTCATGGTGTGTCGGTCCAAACTCTGTGTCATTGTGTGTCTGTCCCAACCATGTGTCTGTGTCATGGTGTGTCTATCCCAACTCTGTGTCTGTGTCATGGTGTGTCTGTCCCAACTCTGTGTCTGTGTATGTGTCATGGTGTGTCCCTCCCAACTCTGTGTCTCTGTTATGGTGTGTCTGTCCCAACTCTGTGTCTGTGTCATGGTGTGTCTGTCCCAACTCTGTGTCTGTGTCTGTGTCATGGTGTGTCTGTCCCAACTCTGTGTCTGTGTCTGTGTCATGGTGTGTCTGTCCCAACTCTGTGTCTATGTCTGTGTCATGGTGTGTCTGTCCCAACTCTGTGTCTGTGTCTGTGTCATGGTGTGTCTGTCCCAACTCTGTGTCTGTGTCATGTTGTGTCTGTCCCAACTCTGTGTCTGTGTCATGGTGTGTCTGTCCCAACTCTGTGTCTGTGTCATGTTGTGTCTGTCCCAACTCTGTGTCTGTGTCATGGTGTGTCTGTCCCAACTCTGTGTCTGTGTCTGTGTCTGTGTCATGGTGTGTCTGTCCCAACTCTGTGTCTGTGTCATGGTGTGTCTGTCCCAACACTGTGTCTGTGTCTGTGTCATGGTGTGTCTGTCCCAACTCTGTGTCTGTGTCATAATGTGTCTGTCCCAACTCTGTGTCTGTGTCATAGTGTGTCTATCCCAACTCTGTGTCTGTGTCTGTGTCATGGTGTGTCTGTCCCAACTCTGTGTCTGTGTCTGTGTCATGGTGTGTCTGTCCCAACTCTGTGTCTGTGTCTGTGTCATGGTGTGTCTGTCCCAACTCTGTGTCTGTGTCTGTGTCATGGTGTGTCTGTCCCAACTCTGTGTCTGTGTCTGTGTCATGTTGTGTCTGTCCCAACTCTGTGTCTGTGTCTGTGTCATGATGTGTCTCTCCCAACTCTGTGTCTGTGTCATGGTGTGTCTGTCCCAACTCTGTGTCTGTGTCATGGTGTGTCTGTCCCAACTCTGTGTCTGGGTCATGGTGAGTCTGTCCCAACTCTGTGTCTGTGTCATGGTGTGTCTGTCCCAACTCTGTGTCTGTGTCTGTGTCATGGTGTGTCTATCCCAACTCTTTGTCTGTGTCTGTGTCATGGTGTGTCTGTCCCAACTCTGTGTCTGTGTCATGATGTGTCTGTCCCAACTCTGTGTCTGTGTCATGGTGTGTCTGTCCCAACTCTGTGTCTGTGTCTGTGTCATGGTGAGTCTGTCCCAACTCTGTGTCTGTGTCTGTGTCATGGTGTGTCTATCCCAACTCTGTGTCTGTGTCTGTGTCATGGTGTGTCTGTCCCAACTCTGTGTCTGTGTCTGTGTCATGGTGTGTCTATCCCAACTCTGTGTCTGTGTCTGTGTCATGGTTTGTCTGTCCCAACTCTGTGTCTGTGTCATGGTGTGTCTGTCCCAACTCTGTGTCTGTGTCTGTCACGGTGTGTCTGTCCCAACTCTGTGTCTGTGTCTGTGTCATGATGTGTCTGTCCCAACTCTGTGTCTGTGTCTGTGTCTGTGTCATGGTGTGTCTGTCCCAACTCTGTGTCTGTGTCTGTGTCATGGTGTGTCTGTCCCAACTCTGTGTCTGTGTCTGTGTCATTGTGTGTCTGTCCCAACTCTGTGTCTGTGTCTGTGTCATGGTGTGTCTGTCCCAACTCTGTGTCTGTGTCTGTCCCAATTCTGTGTCTGTGTCATGGTGAGTCTGTCCCAACTCTGTGTCTGTGTCTGTGTCATGGTGTGTCTGTCCCAACTCTGTGTCTGTGTCTGTGTAAACTCCAAATCGGGTAATAGTGTGCAAGTAAGTGGCGCCTGATTTCAATGAGAAAAGATGGAATGGATGATGAGCTCTTTACGTTCAACAACATCTATTATCGTTGATAAGCAGGGCAATAACATGCTTTGATAAAAGATTCCTTTCCAAATTATGTTTATTTGTTATCCATTAGGTTCTGCTAGGATTCCTGCGGTATGAATGTGAAGTGCGTTATATTACACAATATGTGGCATTCATCATGCGGCATTGGTCTTCCCATCATGCAGTGCTGGGAATCTCGTCATGCATTGCATTTACGTGAATCTCTGTCAACCTATCAGCCAATGCCTCATCTACCATTTAACGCTAACAAAAAACAAATCTGGAGCTCAGAGCGGAACGATCGCCATAAAGTTAAAGCCACAAATACTCATACTGTACCCGTCCTTTCATATTCCCTTGGTGTTGTCGATTGAACGAAACAAGAAATTCACAGTTTTGACACCCTCACCCAGAAGAATCAAGTCAGACAGTAGATCCCTCCACCCTCGCACTTCCCTTAATCGCTTATATTTGCCAATCACAATGGGAGGTCGTGCTTTGATTAACGTGGCGGCTCTTCATGATAGAATTGTATTGTGCACTTTTGCACACATTTATTTGTCGGATGAACCTCTTGTGAAGCATGTCAATGATGAAAACAAGTTATTGCACAGTTTTCTTAAACGCGCCAAGGATGTGGGACATAATCTCAATGTCAGTGTTGATTTTGTTGATGGTTCTGTACTGCTGGACGGTACAGAAATGAGTGTCCACCATGCGAAGTGCCATATCAGTCGGCCCATCGGTTTCAAGGAGAGGCTATGTGAACGACCACTGTATCAAATTTATGTGCAGTGTGTTTAGAAGAGAAACAACCCGCAGAGTCTTTCGCCGGAATGAAGTCGGCTGGCCTGAAAAGTGAACCAGAGGGCTTTCTGTTTGATGCCCAGACCAGTCACTTTCCACTCGAAACCGTTAATGTGTGATTTTGCATCAAAATGTAAATATGAAATGTCGTATAATGAGTCGCTCCAACACTTTGTCAGTGGATGCCCACCACAGAGGTTCATCCATGGTACGAGCCAGAATATGCAGAGGGCGTCATGGGAAATGATGAATACAAAATTCTTTCAAATAGGTCCGAAAACAGCCTCAGAAATGTCACGCTTGCATCCCAAGTACCTATTAAGTTGTCCGACTCCCCATTGTCCTCGGTGTCTAAGGTTGAGTACCTCCCCATATGTTGACTGACATAGGGAGAGTACGCGGGTTTGCTGCCAGGAATACAGCCCCTCTGACAATCTGGGAAATGCAGAAGGCTGCTGTGTTGGGGAGTCTTCACATTCTGCAAAAAGTTTTTGGTGTACTAGGCAGCGCTTCCTGGAAGAAGTCCCATTCGCTGTCTGGGCTGCGTGTAGAAGGGGCAAGGGCCCTGAGCTGATGATGAGCCTAACCACGCTGACTGTGGCAGGATCACACAAACCCCCTTTGCTCCATTTTCTATTTTAATCTGTATATAATAAAAATATACACTGTGTAATAATTGCTACGTCAGTGTGGTCTACAACCAACATGTTATATACATTGTGGAATGATTGCACGTCAGTGTAGTCCACAACCAAAATGTTATACACTGTGTAATAATTGCACGTCAGTGTGGTCCACAACCAACATGTTATATACACTGTGGAATGATTGCACGTCAGTGTGGTCCACAACCAACATGTTATATACACTGTGGAATGATTGCACGTCAGTGTGGTCCACAACCAACATGTTTTTCCCTGTGTAATAATTGCACGTCAGTGTGGTCCACAACCAACATGTTATACACTGTGTAATAATTGCACGTCAGTGTGGTCCACAACCAACATGTTTTTCCCTGTGCAATAATTGCACGTCAGTGTGGTCCACAACCAACATGTTATATACACTGTGTAATAATTGCACGTCAGTGTGGTCCACAACCAACATGTTTTTCCCTGTGGAATGATTGCACGTCAGTGTGGTCCACAACCAACATGTGATATACACTTTGGAATGATTGCACGTCAGTGT